GTTATCCCACAGATGATATTCATTGAATATTTATTTATTTGAGTCACATATAGTCCCATGTGAATTTTTGGGACTCATTTGATAACCTCATTACAGTAGATTTAGGCAAATGAATTAAAAAAGTGTTAAAATTACAAAAAAGAAAAGCTGTGAAAATTCGAAATAAAACATCGTGGAAAATTGCAATTGGAACAATTAACCCGAAGTAATGTGAAATGTGGGAAACTTATGTTTATTGACTTGAATGCATGTGGTTTAAAATCTGGGTCTATGACCAAAGAAACGGTTTATTTTGACAGATTGTTAACCTTTAGCGTGCTGCCGGCGGACTCGTCCGCCGAGACTAAAATGTCTCTCACAACTGCCGGCGGACCCGTACGCCCGATTTCAAACTTTTAAAAACTTTACTTTTTCGCGCCATTCGTATTGTCCAATTAGATTGTCCGATTTATTCAGTGCCTAACATGACTTCCTGTTGACCTAGAATGGCGATATTTCGAAAAATAATTCTCAATTCAACAATTTAAACAGTGTTTTAGTCGTTTTTAGTGAACGAATCGTACAAAATGGTGGACAAATACGATCACAACGAAAATGTGGAGGAAATGAATTACGATTTCGAGCTCTTTAGGCTCTTGGAAGCCGATAACGGTCATCGAAAATAGAAACTAGAATATTTTCTGAATTGAAAAATTGAACATTCGATCGCTGCAAATTCAGATTTGGATTCTGACCAGACGAAGAGGCGGAGCGGCGGATTCCGGAGGAGTATTCATGGTATATTTATGCCCAGTCGTGTTAATGTACGAAAAAATTCATGAGAACATTTTTTTCATGAGCCAGGCCACTGTATCTTCCCTTTGTGAAAATTTTATCCAGATTCATTCAGTAGTTATTGAGATATTAATTATTATTTCATTTTTTGCACTATTTGAAAAATAAGCCAGTTGCGTGGGATATATTTGCTGAAATAAGGCAGCATGGTAAAGGTTAAATAAGTTGTTTCTCTTCAGACTAGACATGCAGTGTCATGCAAATATAAATGGATTATTTGATAGGCCTGATATTCTTTTTTACTTTATACGTACCTAAAAGAGACTTTTGTCCACCTTATCTTGTTGATTTCCAGATCTGCATCTATTACATTGTAGAAAAAATATCAAATATATTTTTAATGTGGCGTATTATTAAGTAAAATATTCTATTGGGTAAGTAGTCTTTTGTGCATAAAGCTCCTATACTTGTACCCCCCCCCCTCCCTCCATTGTCCCTAACTCACTGAGAAAGGCAATGAAAGTGAGGATGGAATTCAGGGGCTTGTATAAAGTCATATCGATGTTTTCATTATTTATATTGTAATTTTTTGAGGTTTGTATTCTGTATTCTAAATGTTTTCATTGAACTCTCTTATAATCAGGGATGGATAGGCACCTATAGGGAGGTTTGATTCAATAGAGAGTTTCACCCTCTCAAGTAATATAAGGTGAAAAGTGAGACAAAGGTACAAGCAAACAACAAAAACATTAATTGGCAAGTTCAATTACTATCATTGGACACAAGAGATTCCAAACTGGTAACAAAAACAAAAAATACCAGGGGAATTATTTTGATCATATCTATTAAAAGTGATCAGCTCTAGCATAAAAAATGACAAAGTTAATTTCTATAGGGAATTTCAGTTCGAGATCTGTCACTTCTTATATTTTACCAAGAACTTTCCGATAGCTGGCAAGTCTCTTCTGAAGTTGTTTACAAGGTTATAGGGGATAAAATTCCAGCATCCTAAAATTGAAAGAAATCAATTCAAATTCAATAAATTCAATTGGCGCTGCTCTTGTTAACTTCAAATTGTGTTAATTGAAAATTAACTTTATTTACACCCCCCCTCCTTCAAATGTTATAGTGTGTTTTGTAAAATTAGAATAGGCAAAGGGGCACTGTAACCTAGACTGAACAAATCCAATTTTATAATTACTAAAATAGAATTTTGTTCATTACTTATAATGTTTAACAACAGTCTAGTTCTATTGTTGAACATGTGAACATAATTTCAACCCTACAGCATCCATCCTATTAGTGTCAATATACAATTATAATAGTATTTGAAAGGGATCATTTTTATGTCAGTTTTCGTGTATGTAGCTCACTACATTGGTATGCATGTAGGCTGGTGACCCTAACAGGAAACATCCAGGCTGTCAACCCCCCTAGTTACATCTCCTACTATGAACACTCAGTGCACAGGACGAGTTTTACATTCCAACGTTAATTTTTTGACAGCCACTTATCTTTAATTAGACATTAATGTGTTACTGTATGGAATGTTACTCAATGATGTTTTGGGCTTCTTGGGGTGATTGATGTTAAAAGTCAAATTTTAGAATTCTTTAAATATTTTTTATCATTTTCAACATAGTATGTTATTTATTTATTATTTAGATGTATAGAAATGTCCCACATTCATAATAAATTATTGAATTCTTTTCATTTTAACAGCTGTATCTTTGCAACAAATTAAAATGGTTCTGTGAGAACTTATTTTTAAACTTTGCTAACATTAAACATTCATTTGCTTTGATTGTGGTTGATGGAAGGGGGTCATTATTGATTGGGATCCTTAAAGAATCAGCTAAATCTGGCAATATTTAGGTACATTGTATTTAAGTAATGTTTATAAAGTTTTTGTCATAAGCTCTTATCAGACAGCCAGTAGGTGGTGGCATCTCACTTTTCTTGTCTGTGCTTTTTCCAGATAAACCACTTTGACTCAATGTTTTGATTACATTTTTCAGTTTCTTCATTTTTGATTTTTAGGCACAATTTTGTATGTTTTGTTTCTGACGACTTGTAAACATATGTTTTTTTGTATTTAAATGACTCAGACTCAGAATTGTGCCACTTAGTGCATGCAACATTTCAAAATATTAGAGACCGTGAGATCACATTTCTGTAATGTTAAACCTGCATAAGAAATCAACAATTGTGAAGCACTTATTAGATGCCTCTTTTCCCAGTCCATGTGATAAGTTGTTTTCTTTTGTTACCATAGCAACAGTATATACTACTTAATCTGTATATGCAATGGTGGCAATCCTATCTTACTGCAAAACATTTGGTTGCTGGTAATGTGTTTATTTACTGGTTTAAATAAAATATATCACATCTATATACATGTACTCAAAAACCTGGTAGCAACTATAAACTGTTACCATAGCAATATTGATGGGTATAATCAAATTGGAATGTTTTGTATCTTAATTAAATCTGAATTATCAATAGATGTATAAATCACTATTTGAAAGTTTTGGTCATTAACCCTTTATTGACCACCAGTAATTGAGATCATTGAGATCGGATTGATGATTCACCACATCAGGGAAGAAAAAGCATGTGTAGATGTCACAAATGGACAGACTTGTATCTTTGTAGTCATCTCCCCCCCCCCGTGTTACCCTGAGTTTTCTAGAATACCTTCCTCTGACAAGGAGAGATTATTATATAGTCTAGCATCCAGCCAATCAAAGAGCTCTGCATAGCCACTAAATATAGTTGCACATGTAGACTAGCATACTAGACAGATTCTTGCAAGTGGTGTTCCAGATATGTTAGATATGTACTTATATAAAATATTTGAGATCTTATCAAATAAGACTTATTCAAACTTCTGCTTATCTGAAGATAGTCTATTATTAACACTGGAAGAGCTTAATTTGGTACCCTGAGTGATAGAGCCAGTGCACGAGGCTTTGAATAAGAGAAATAAATATGATACTGTCTTGATACTGACAACATATAAATAAATGACCCCAAAAGTCACCTCTCCTAGTCTAAATGAAAGTTTCTTAATGAAATAAATGCCACTCCACTTATGATAACATAAGATCCAGTGAAATGTGTTTTGATTTGGTATGCTGGATTGTTATCAAATGTGTTCTCTTCTGATTGGTTTTGACTTGATCAGTATTGTAGATGAAGATCTTTTTAAAATAAGCAAAATCAAATGATTGAAAAGGGTAATAATTAAGTAAAGCAATATTCATTATTTGTAATCTAATTTAATAATAACTTACATCAAGTCGTCAATTAGGATAGATTTAATAATGTCACTCGAACGGTGTTATAAGAATATAAACCATGTTTCGGAAATTGCAATCCTAATGAAACTCCCTTAAATTCTGTTGAAATGACACACTGGAATTAGGGAATCAGTAGAATTAGCCAAGAGGGGGTACTTACATGGGAGAATTATTGAAGTAATATGTTCCTAGCCTTTTAGATTGATACAGGAGAAAAAGAACTTAACACAATCAATCACGATTCTAGGAGCTTATGTCCCCATGATTTTCTCTATGTAGTGTGTTGGAACATAACATAGAGATTGATGAGGGGAGGTGTTTAAATATGAGAAGAAGTGTGAATTGACAGTTTAGGAATTTACAGTTTAGGAACATCTTCCTTATTTAGAAGGATTTCCTGCAATCTTGATTGCTTGTTAAAACATACAATGGAAAAATGATCATGGATAAGCAGGTATAAAGTATATAAAGGACCTGGGTATATATTCTAATTCAAGGATTTTTCATGTTACAGGAGAAGTTTAACGTGACCAGTTCCAAGCCCTGGGTTTCATAGTAGGAGTAGAGCAGGTCTTGGATTTATACTATAATTCAAGTATTAATGGGACTGGTTCCAAGCCCTGGGTTTCATAGTAGGAGTAGAGCAGGTCTTGGATTTATACTATAATTCAAGTATTAATGAGACTGGTTCCAAGCCCTGGGTTTCATAGTAGGAGTAGAGCAGGTCTTGGATTTATACTATAATTCAAGTATTAATGAGACTGGTTCCAAGCCCTATGTTTCATAGTAGGAGTAGAGCAGGTCTTGGATTCATACTATAATTCAAGTATTAATGGGACTGGTTCCAAGCCCTGGGTTTCATAGTAGGAGTAGAGCAGGTCTTGGATTTATACTATAATTCAAGTATTTTCTCTTGTGTTACAGAAGAAAGACAAGTTAGATGGAGCCAGTGCCAAAGTGTTCCAGGCCCTTGGCTACATGGAGGGCATCATATACAAGTATGAGGTAGAAAAGAAGATTCTAGCGATGCTCCCAGAGTCTGCTACTATACTACTAGAGGCCATCATGGAAGTGTATACTTGCCTCAGTACGGCTTCAATCAATCAAGACAGGTTAGTTGATTGATTGATTGATTGATTGTTGGTTATATATGGAGACACATCCATATACAAACATATATATATATCCCCCTGTCTCCTTAAGGAGAAGCCTCAAATCTAGGTATGTTATGCATTACCTTGTCCCAATATTATTCATAATGACATCAAACTAAATATTGTACACAACTCATCTACATTGTATTTCATACAGTAGCAGTACTCTCAGAATTATAGTCTTGCATTAAGTCTCTGGTCTCCCATTTGCCTCAACCTTAAATTCAAGAGAAATGGGAGTGGCAACATAGGGACTCAATGCACGACTCTGATCAGAATTAATTTTTTCTATTTGCACTTAACTAGCAGCATATATGGTGGAAAAATGATAGGAGCAGGTGAAAAGGGTGTTAGATTATTAGATATATTTGAATGTTATGTAAATGTAGCTTGGGTTCTATTCCTGGGGTTGTGTTTGTTCTTTCAGTGTCAATGTGTAGTTATGGTGATGGTATTTTCTAATAATCATATGTTCTGTTCCATCCACCATTTTTGATTACGTGAACTGCAGTAACTGGCATTAAGAGGAGCACGAACTGCAGTCTGTAATATTTGTCACAAGTCACATTGACACTAGTCATTTTTGTGGAGTTTGGATTGATAAAAAACAAGACAAAATGTATGAATCTTATTTCTTTATGTTACTTTTAATCATTCAATATCAATAAATTTCTTTCAACCACTTTTGATAACTTGATCCCAAAAGTTTGGAACATTTTGCTTCGGAACAGAACAATTTTGGAACGGTTCGGTATACAGAGTGACTATTTGATTAAAATAAGTTGATTATCTAGGTCTATTTGGTAATGAAAAGCTCTTCAAAACTCCTCAATGAGAAGGAGTAAAAAGAAAGATCTTCTTTTGGTGCAAAATGTTGAAAGAAAAATGCTGTTTTGTGGTGATTTAAGGGTCACATGCTGTGGAAGGGTAAGATTTTCTTGTTCCAGAACTGAACCAAAATTCCTGATTTTTATTCCCTGTTCCATTCCGAGAGTATAATTCTGCGGGTTGGAACACAATCAGGTATCCGTGACACCTCTAGTATTAAGGGAACCCCTTACTGGAATTGAGGCAACTTTGGCAGCAATCTTGATCAGAATGTTTGCCTCTAAAATAATTGAATATTTACATGTACAATATTCCCATGGATTCATGCTGAATTCAACTTATGTAATATCAAATATGTCACATCTATGAGTGAGGAAATACTTCACAAATATAGTTATTTCCTGAAGAAAGTGAGGATCCCATAAGTGGGGACAACCCCAGAAGAATACATCTCGTTCTCATTTATTCAGCACTTAAAACTGAAGAAGTAATTTCAGCAAGTTTTGCCTTCGTAACATTTTACTTTTACATATATACAGGGTGTCTCAAAAATGTACCCAAAAGTATATCAACAGTACAGATAATCCAATCAATATTTTCAGACATTTTTATGTTTTGGATTTCTCTTTGGATGCTGCCCTTAAGTTGTTCTAGGTCTTTTTGCTTGGAATGAGCATTAAAACACTCCAGAGAAATATTGAGGATGACGATGGCAGAACAAACACAGAGAATTAGGTCAATTATCGGCAAATGTTTCAAGAGTTACCTTCCAGAGTTATGCAGGCTAGCCTGGAGGCCAAATGATATCCAAATAAAACACAGTGGTCTCAAATTGATTGATCCCCTCTAGACACAACAAAGGCTACACTAGTATCCCAACCAATACAGTTTCTTGGACGTCTGACCTCTCTGTATAAGGGGGCTGTAAGACATTGTGAGGGCCTCCCTATTCACCAGATTTGACAGCCCATACTTTTTTCTCTGGGACTATTGAAGGACCTTTTTTATGCTAAACCGAACTAAGAGACCTAGAACAACTTAAGATCAGCATCCGAACAGAAATCAAACCGTTCCACCAGAAATACCAAATGTGATGAACAATGTAGTAGTAAGGATGCAGATGGTCATCGAAATATGAGGTTACATTAATTATGTGGTGTAAAAGGTAAAGGGTTAAAGTATCAAAAAGGCAAAACTGAATTAAAAACTGTGTATAGGGGAAAAAACTTACATGTTTTGACAACAAGACACCCTATAGATATCGGCATGCCAAAAAAATTGATTCATCACGAGTACTAGGTTGTGATTGAAAAAGTTAAATATTATTAAAATTGTTCTTGTTGAGTAATTATCTCATGGGACAATAATAAAGCTAGCTAGTGCATTGACATCAGCCTCATGGGGGATGTATAATTTATGCACCTTGTTGACACTGGGTTATCAGAGTTTAAAAAGAACTCAGGAAGTTCCAATTAAACGAATTACTTTACAGGCCCTTAATTATTGTATATTGAGATACTCTCATGTTCTTGAAAATATTTTCCTAAAAAAAATGTTTTTGTGTGTGGTAACATGTTAAAGTTCAGATTTAATTATCAATTTTACTAAAGGAACTGTTAAACATTTGTGATCCCTGTGATATTATAATTGAATGTTGTTTTTTGAGAGAGATATATGTATGTATGTCAGGGTGACATCGACCTGACACCTACAAATACTGAAGCACTCATAGGAAGGAAGTCATCTGTATGAATGAGAAGATTAATAAGTCTGAATATTTTAGGAAAAAAAATGTTTTGAAATATCCTATTTTTGTTCATGAAATGTGTGGTGGTAGTAGGGGCAATGCAGATCTTCTTTGTGGTGTATGGTTTTAAATTTTATCTTTTGAATTAAGGGTCACATTTTAAATACAGGGTAACCCAGGTCAGACACACAGTCATAATAACTCAGTGGTGTATGTAGTAAAACTAGTATATTTGGATATATCTCTGGATAGTGATCACCTTGTAATGTGAAAAAGTATTGATCACAACTGTTTTGATATCCTATTCACACCAGTGTTTCCAAAAGTTGACGTAAACATTGAATAACTCTCCGTTTATATGCATCTCTCAGTGTCAACTCCTCTTTAAGACATCCTCCGAACGCAGGGTTCCAGACATCATCCACTAAGTTCCTTCCTTCTTCCAGAAGAAGGTGGTACAAGTTCTGGGGGCCTGTGTTCGGAGAATGTCTTGAAGAAAACATTTGAATGTAAAGTTTAATGTCAGTCATGTTAACATGACAAATTGTAATAAAACCAGCAATTTGGAATCCTTAACTCATTTTTGAATGAATACCTCAAGGCACCAGACTAAGTGTGACTTATCGAATCTTAACATGACTCAGACATATCAGCTGGTAAAGCTGAGCCACAAAGCCCTAAAGCCTCCACCTCTCCTCTATAAACAAAGATTACTAATCAGAAAATACAGTTTACATGTTATTTTGACATATATGTAATTGATGCTTTGAACAGTTTTCAGTTGTGTTTTACTTAAAATACAGTGTACACTCTCATCAGTTGAGATTATAGAGCTTACAGTGATATAATTAGATGTGTAGCTTTCATGTGTTGAAACAGCATATCCTTTGTTCACTACTTTTAGGAATAATATTTTAAGAAAGACTGTTCAACCCTAGTTAAATACCCTGAATCAATCAAATTGTTTATTTATTGTTCATTATAGTTTAGTTTTTTTAGTTTAAAATAGTTTATTTAAGTGTCACACGTATACAATTTACACTAAAAAAACAATTAAAATATACATACACATGTAGAGGTAAAAGAATAATATGTACACGTCCAGCCGTTGCCGACTTATGAGACACTGAATAAAATTTACAATAAAAATAATTTACGTCGTTTAAACATACAATATACTAGCTTTGCTAGCATGTAAACATTGCAATCACACATAATTAAACAATATTTTGCTAAATTTGTTGAATTTTCAAAAGAAGGATGCAATGATGACATGTAAGTGAAAACATCATATCTTAAATCATTATACAATGGACAATCTATTAGAAAGTGTATTTCATTTTCAACTTCCTGCATATCACACATTAAACAAATTCTGTCATGAAGGTCTAATTTGGGATTATATCTTCCAGTTTCTACCCTCAGAGGTAATACACCACACCTAAGTTTTGCCAGAGCTTGTCTGTAAATCCTAGGTAAATACATCTCAACATATTCCTCGGTATGAAAACGAGATTTATGGAGTCTATAACTTCTAAGTTTATTACCATTTTCTTTGTTTTTATTGTCATTCCATAAGTTTATATGCCAATCAATTTGATGTTTATCGATAAGTTTCTTTTGAAAACTTTTAATCTTGGCCTTAGTACCATGGATTTGTGTACATTCTTTATCAGTGAAATCTGTTAAGCCATTTTGATCAAAAATCTTAATGACCTGGTATTCCCAGGATTTTCTTACATTTTTGGACCAAGTAAATATCTTTTTAGTAACACGGGAATTATTCATATTTGTAAGTCTACACCACTGACGAAAGGTTTCCTTAAGTTGAACGCTATAAAATGAAGGCCATCCAATATCGCCATTTACAGCATCATTTGGTGTGTACTTTCCAACACCTAGGAAGAAACGGGCTGCCTTATTTTGAACATTATTTAGCAGTCCACGTGGTTTATCTCCCCAAATACCAGATCCATATGTCATAATTGGTAAAACAAGTGAATTATAAAGTTTTGTGAAAACATCAAAGGTAAAACCTCCCTTATGGTAAAATTTAGCAATAATGACTCCAAGAGCTCTGCTAGCAGAGGCTGCTAATGTTTCAATTGCCTTTTTAAAAGTAAGGTGCTCATCTAAATACAAACCTAGGTATTGGTATTCATTTACAGAGGATATTGTGTTCAATCCACAGAGAAAAACAAATTTTGATTGTACAATATTTTTGGGGCGAAAATGTAAAACCTGGGTTTTTTCAGTATTGATTTGAATTCGCCAATTATTGCACCATTCATTTAGTTTATCTAACATTGTCTGAAGATCAAACTCATTTGCAGCAATTAAAGCGATGTCATCAGCATATAAGAGTAAACTAATATTTTCATTCAAACCATATTTTACACCAAGCCCTAAATTTTTAATCTCAGTGGCTAAAGAGTTAATATATATTGAAAAAAGACTCGGTGAAATTTTACACCCTTGTTTCACACCCTTTGAAACGGGAAACCAATTTGTTAAAGTACCATTTATTCTCACCGCACATTGCACATTTTCATAAAGTGAGACTATGGCATGATATATACGACCTTTAATGCCCATTCTATTCAATTTTACAAACAGACATTGTCTGTTAATATTATCAAAGGCTTTAGAAAAATCTACGAAACAAACAAAAGTTGACAGTTTAGATAATTGTCTGTTATGAACAATAGAATATAATGAGTAAAGATGGTCCTGGCAGCTTCGTTCCTTGCGAAAGCCGTTTTGTTCATCAACAAGTTTACCATTTTTCTCAATCCAGTCAGTCAAGCGTGAGTTTATAATGTCGCAATAAACCTTACAAGGTATCGAGATCAAGGTTATTCCGCGGCTATTTAAAGGAACTCGACGATCTTTGTTACCAGATTTTGGAATTGGGTTAATTATCCCCATGTTCCATTGTTCTGGAACAATGGAGTGAGTGAATGAGTATGCGATAATCAAATGAAGTAATGTCATACACGCCCGGTTTTTTATAACCTCAGCAGGTATTCGATCAAAACCAGCGGCTTTTCTCAGTTTAGCATTTTTTATGCTTGACATGACCTCCTGTAAAGAAATATCTTTGTTTAAATCAGGGTTTACGTCCTTGGACTCATCGGTATTCATTGAGTTGTACTCAGTTTGAAGAGAGTGAAAAAACTCAGAGTTGTAATTGGGATTATCTTTTTGATTGTACAGTTTCTGAAACTCTACTTCCCATTGGTTCAAAATTGTGTTTTTATCGGTTGACATTTGACCATCACTGTCGATAACCTGCATAGGAATACTGTTTTGCCTATTTTCAGATATGCCTATTTTACCAATTTGTTTCCAGAAAGACTTTTGATCGTATTTATCATTACACATGTTCATTAATTCCATTTCTTCCTTACGTTGATAATTACGTTTATATTTTCTATTTAAACGATCAAAATACCTTCTATCTTGACAATATGTGGCTTTCAAGGCACGTTTTTGATATACTCCATGTTTACATTTTATATAGGCTTTTTCAGATTTACACACCTGTTCCCATGCATTATCCAATTCCTTGCACCAATATGCCTTATACATAGATTTTTTACGTTTGTTTTGACATGTGTGTTTAGATTTTGCAGGAAGATTTTTATCCATTTCTTTAAGTACAAGATTTTCAAAAATACAATATGCATTATTCACATCATTTGATACATTGAGTGCGTTTTCAATAGATAGTATTGCATCATTTAAAATATCATTAAAAGCATCATTTTCCATGAAATTATTTGGAACATTCCGTACATCATACCTTTTCTTAGCATCATCAAAGTGATTGTCATTTTCATATGTATATGCATCAGAAACATTACTCACATGGTTTAAAGATAATTCACACAAAAGAACTGAATGATCAGGTTGCTTATCTGGAATGCGCAAATTGAATTTATTTATAATATCACTTATGGTTAAGACAGTGAAATCTTGCCATAAATCCAATTGCTCATGAGGTACAATTATATAGTCTATAACTGACTTTCCTCTCATTGCATCAATAAAAGTAAAATTATTTGAATTACCTTTCCGACCATTCAACATTACAAAATTTGAATCAATTAAAAATTCTGTAAGCAATACACCATACGAGTTTTCGCCATAACCAAGGATGTTTCTCGGTGGGACTTCATCCACACCGGCTATGTAATCAAATACATCACCACATCTTGAATTGAAATCACCACATATTACAGTGAAACCAATATTTTGATAAATGTAGATTTTATTTAACAAATTATTATAAAAATCCTCTCCATCAATAGAACGTGTAGAGTCTTTGGGAGGCAAATAGCAACTACATAAACATATCACTGTATCTGATGTTTTGCATGAAAGCTTCATCCACAAAATTCCTTCAGACTCATCATCTAAAAGTTCAATGTTAAATATGTTAAACACTCGTTCATGGATTAAGACACCTACTCCCCCTGAATTATAAGGCAACAATGAAAGATATTTGGTGGAGGAGTATGATCAAGTTTAATGTCTGGAACTAGGAATATTGTGCCGTCACATCATCTATTTAAGCTGAATTGGAGTCCACTTGGTGTAAAATATATCATATTCATGTTTGTCTGTTTTGTGAAGAGAATCAGATAGTTCAATTGGAATAATTTATGAAAAATTGAGATTTTTATCTAGTTATCAACTTGTGTGTTTCATTAGCTTGTCTTATAAGCACTCATGAATCCCTGTCATTCATTATTGGACAATAATTTAAATTTTTGAATCATTATTCCTTTATTTATCGTCTATTTTGTTTCATCATTTAGGCCCAATGATCATCTGGATTGAATATGAACCCCATAAAATTTGAAATGCAACCATTGACCACATTTACAAAAAAGATAAAACACCTCATTATATTCCTCTATGAATTTTAAAGATCTGCTAAATACTGGCACTTCTATATACTTTAGATTGTTACATCCGTGCCTGTTTGTTTCTTTCCTTGCTTGTTCCACATTCCTAGTCCTTCCTGGTTCAAAGTTGACACTGGCATTTAATAAATGCATGTGTTAAGTCCTCCTGAAATAAATAGTCATTTACAACAGTAAAACCTGTGTACAATGAACACCCGTGGAGCAACAAAAAATGTGTTCACTGAAGGTAGGTGTTCACAGCAGATAAGTAATTTTATACAGAAGCCAGTGTGCTGAGAAGGGGTGTTCATTAGACACAGGCGTCGGTAGATAAATGTGTTCACTAAGACAGGTTTAACTGTATATATTTTATAAAGGGGAGTCCAGTTCATGTAGCTATCTATCAATGGCTTCATACAAATGTAAAACTTCAATTTCTGAGATGATTGGGAACATGATTGGTGATCTTAGTAATGGAGGTTTGATCATCATGTATTCCCATTGCTTTCATAAACCTAACAAAATATGTACTCCACTTCACATTTCCCAACTTATCAAATCAAATATGTTTTTAATAGAATTATGAGTTAGGCTGACATTACATATGTTCATTTCATGTTTTTCTGTTGTTTTTAATGAGTTTTTACAACTCTAATTCACTTAGAATAAATGATTAACAGATAAATAAACAAACACATATTCAAGGGTTTCTATCAATTATTTGCCCATGAATACAAAATGGAACAACAATTTGTCAGAAAATGAAATGGAAAATGTCTGCTAAGTCAATCAAACTGAAAATGAACTTCCATTAGAGACAATGAATTATGTTGCCTTGATTGAGTACATTTTACAAAACTAATTTAAGTAGAGGGAGTTTTACCAGCTTTATTAAAGTAGAGAAAGCAAATGTAAAGTGTTTTTTATTACATCAAATTCATTGCAATATATGCAAATAGAATATTTCGACATGGTCCTTTGAAATTACAGTACTCTCTTATTTCCCAAAATGTTTTTTTTAAATGTTTTTTCTTTGTTACAGCCAAACCTCATATACATGTACAGCCCAATTTTAGTCTTTTAATAATTATGCCAAACTTGCGAACATTGGTATCCCGTACCAGTTTCTTCTTTCTCAATGAAATCTCTGTTGCAAGATTTACTTCAATGTATTTCAACCCTCCACTTCAATGTATTTCAACCCTTTACTTCAATGTATTTCAGCCCTTTACTTCAATGTATTTCAGCCCTTTACTTCAATGTATTTCAGCCCTTTACTTCAATGTATTTCAACCATTTATTTCTATGTATTTCAACCCTTTATTCTATGTATTTCAACCCTTCATTTCTATGTATTTCAGCCATTTACTTGAATGTATTTCAACCCTTTATTTCCATGTATTTCAACCCTTTACTTTAATGTATTTCAACCCTTCATTTCCATGTATTTCAGCCCTTTACTTTAATGTATTTCAACCCTTTATTTCCATGTATTTCAACCTTTTACTTTAATGTATTTCAACCCTTTATTTCCATGTATTTCAGCCCTTTACTTTAATGTATTTCAACCCTTTACTTCAATGTATTTCAGCCCTTTACTTCAATGTATTTCAACCCTTTACTTCAATGTATTTCAGCCCTTTACTTCAATGTATTTCAACCCTTTACTTCAATGTATTTCAGTTCTGTGATTATCTCATGCAGCAACCACATCAACCAGACTGTAGCAGACCTGATCAAGTGGGTAGATGGGATCATGGTGAAGGGAGAAGAGGCAATAAGTAAACAAGAGGCCATACAGATCATTCAAGCAGTCAAAACTGCAGTCAAGGTAGGGAACACTTGAAATTCATGTATCTCATATATCCATCGCTGCATACAAACCTGAAAGAATGCTCAGATGTGAGCTTATTGTAAGTCAGCTCAGTTACAAACTTGACAAAAACCAAATGGTTGCTCTGGTTTATTATTCAGGACTATATCCAAAATAAATGATTTTTTAAGGAATTGAGAGTTTGTATTTATCTCCTCAAAATGAGCTCCATTAGATAAGACTTTGTTCATTTAGCCTCAACCAATAAGACTGCCTGGTGTCACCTTATATACAGATACATCAATTATGTCATGTCCATGTACAGTAAAACCTGAGCATATGAACACCCTTTCTACTGGCTGAAAGTGTTCCATATAGATGGTTGTTCCATACAGCTATGTGTTCCATTGGACAGGTTGTAATATAACATTTTACACATACTTGCAGGATCTAGTCACATTGTCCAAGGACAAACTCCAGGGAGGAGGGGGTAACTACAGCACACTGCAACCCAAGTCCCCAACTAAAGCTTCAGTAAAGGATAGGTAGGTCTCTTATAATATTGCCCATTGTTACTGAGCCTATATCTGCTACCCCCATGTCATATGGGGATGGGATTTACCAGGCAAATGTGCTCCTACAATAATAATCAGCATTCTGTTATACCCCCTCCATTATTTTAACATCCATAAGTTTTCATTGGGAAGCGTATCAATGGCTGTCAATACTTGAATCTTAATTTTGTTTTGTTCCTTAATTACATTAATTCAGAATTTATGTTATATATTTCAGCTCAAAGCGTAACTCTCTCCCAGACATCCCATTAAGTCCAAGGGAGGAACAGATTCTACAAGACACCAAGTTCCCATGTGTCAATGATAACTCTGATGAACCTCCTCCTAAACCACCACTTCCAAAAAATTGGGAGTCACCGACCATTAAGCGAAGGTTTGTACTTATTTATAGCTACATATATCTGCTGCTTTGCAATGATTTACAAACTATTGTACTACTAACATAGAAATGTCAAAATTAATTATGGACACACCTGTATGTCACATAATCATTTAGAATATTTTGACATTTGTGTTTCACTAGTTTTAATTGCTATGTTTTTAATGAGGTGTTAAAACTGAATTTTGTCTCTTTCTCCAGCTCTTTCATTTATCCAAATATTCCATGATCGAGTGTGAATCATTATTATTTTAAATGCATATTATTATGAACTTTTCAAGGATTTTGGTACATCATGTCAAACACATCTAATGCAAGTTTGATCTTGTACTTGCAGTAACCCAGTTGTTTCAATAGATGGCGTGCCTCCTCCATTGCCAGTGAAAACTCGGGGTAGCTCAATGGGCCGTGATGTTGAATCGCCAGATAGAATATTCGACATGTTGCGTCCTGGCTTTTCTGGGGGTAAAGACAGTCAGAGTAGTGGGGATAAATCACCAGTAAAATCCCCTAGCGGTTCCAACACCACCTCCAGTCCCCAAAAACAGGATGTCTATGATATGCTTCACCCAGGGTTCTTGGGAAATAAAAATGGAGGTAGTCCTAACACATGTAGGAGCCTCTCCCCAGTGACAATGCGGAGTGCATCCCCTGGGAGCAGCGTGGGGTCAAGTCTGGCCCCCTCCCAAGAAGATCTCCTTGGTGATCAGAACTCTAGCTTTGAGACAAGATTGTCTATGTATGATAATCAACTTGGATTGACGCCCACTTCAAAATTCCCCGTAACTGGATTTGAGGATTTAAATGAACGTTTTAATGCCATGACGTCAAGTCTGTCTTTAGAGCCGCCATCATTGCCCATGAAGCAAGCTAGCATTATAGATAGGTTCTCAGCATATGATAACTTAAGCAAGCCAGGATCCCAGATGCAAACTCTCTCATCGAAAATGATGAATAACTCACTAAAGTCCAATATAATGAATTGTGGATTGTCATCAAATATGATGACTGGTTCTCAGTCTAAGACAATGAGTCAGTCTTCCAGTCAACAATATTTTTCATCCTCCTCTTCTTCATATTCTTCCTCGTCATCCCAGTCTTTCCAAAAATCTATGCAGTCTTCATCATCCAGCGAGACTCGTGGTTTTTCTGGGACATCAAATGGTGGGGGTTTCGGGGAAACTGTTGTCCAGGAGCATCAGCATCAAAGTGCAGTAGAAACCAAGCATGTAGTCGATGATGGCACGGGGTCGCCACAAACAGTCCATATGTCGCAAATGAAAAATGCAACTGCTGGGAAGAGCACGTCTCATAATGCAGGCCCTGACAACCCTAATAATTACAAACTTGATGAGGTAACTAGTGCTGCACATTCTAAGTCAATGACGATGCAAAACGATGGCACTGGTACCCCACCCAAGTATCACGTTGAGGAGCTTAAAAATGTCAAACAGGGTAAATGTTTGACAGGATATAAAGATGGCGATTTGTCTCAACCAATCAAAATGGCTGCTGTGCAGAGTGACACTGCTGGGAGGAGCATGTTAATTGACCAATCAGATCGCAATGCAGCACCAACATACCATATAAATGAAATGAGAAACACGACAGAAGGAAAGGGTATTATGGGCATTAAAGATGGTTCACCTCTGAAGATAGCGGAAGTGGCTTCCTCTACTGTACAAAGGGGTGCCACAGTCAACCCAAATGGCCAGGTAATTATGATAATGAATTGTAAAAGAAAAGAAAAGATAGATATAAATATGAAAAATAAAAGGCCAAAAAAGGAAGGACCAAAGTGGTTGAAATGTGCAAATTTTAAGAGTATAAGAAAACAAAGTAAAATCCCAGCATCCCATACAATGAATATTTTACAAAATATTTTATGATTGTATCTGTGCCCTTAGTGTGTCACAACTTAAGCTAGAGAGTCACTAAGGGGCCACTAAGGTTTGGACTAAAACATGTCATAAATCACCAATTATCAGTGTATAAAAACAATGTAATATTTTTTTTTGTAAAATGCACAAAATATTTTCATATTTTTAGGCATATGGAGACCCTGTTAGCATTTGTTGGTATTCACAAATACATGTTGGTGTTCGGCATCTGTAACAAATGGCAGGTGGTGTCATTTTCCATGTTAAAGCCTTGTTCACACTTTGAATGAACTGTCCACATTATTTCCTGACTTTATAGGTGAATATGAGACAGACTCAGTCTCAGCAGCAACAAGGGAAGAAACAGATAGGAGGCCTCTCTGGCTCAGTAGAGACATTTTCAAGTGGGAGCTCAGACACTACAAGTGGTGTGTTCTCTAGTATGGAGAGTTTACCTAAGATGCCACCTCCCCTGCCCATCAAGTCAAAACCAAGTAAGTAAAATTACACCAGCTAATGTATATTGGGGCTTGGTTAAAAGTCTTGTTGTCTATTGAATTGAGAGTGTACCTCCCTACACCATTACATGTATGTCAAAAAAAAGTTTTTTGAGGACTTAAATACATTGATAGTTCCCCAGCAAAGTAATGAACGTTGTTATGGAGATAAAAATCCATAAGTTTTGCTGGTGTCCATCAGTTTTTCTTAAATTCCGGAGTTTTTTTAAATGTTATGAATTTTGTCATTTTTTATTGACGTATTCAGCACTATTATGTTTTACTTCAAAATAAGGTGCTAAAAATTATTTCCTTGCATACTTTCAATGTTGATTTGAAATATTTGATTTTGTGATTTCAGTTCATGCCTACATGGGGTTGTTTCAAATCGGCCATCAGGATTGGACGCCTCCAAGTGTGCAGGACTTCCATCGCAACAGCATGCGGTCTGTCAACTTCTACCAGACAAACTTTGAGCGTCACAATATGGCACTGTTCAACCCTATGGCCCGCTCAAACACAATCTCGATCATGTCTAACATCTCCGGGTCTACGGGATCAGATGTTTTCTCACTTGGGGGCCTAAGCAGCTCAAGTTCTTATTATGACAACATCAATCAGACTCCATCACCTAGGTTACCACCGAAGAAAAATCGGGTAAGTTCTCAATTTGTTCACATTTTCATTTGAGTTTGTTTCCTCAAAAAGTGTCTTGTGTCGTCCTTAATTATCATGATTCAAAAACCCAGAATAATTACATGTGATGGCCTTCTATTGTATGGTAGAAAAGAAATCATGCAGGCATAATGCATAACATTTCATTTTTTTGTCTCAAATTAATTTGTAGTATGAAATATATTTTTCAAGTTCAAAAAATCATAATTTTTGTCCACAGACAAGTGAGCTGACGACATCATCAGGACGCAACAGTGCTGCAGAGTCTGTCAACTCTGAGCCGAGCAATTTGGGAATACCCCGTTACCCTGCCCTGACTGCCCCACCCAGGAGTGAGAGGTAACTACAGTTTCATCCATTTTCACTTAAGCGTCAGGAAAAAAAAAGAATAAAATAAAAAGCATATCAATATTACAAATCTCATTTTATTAGAGATGTCTGCTTCTCTAACTTTGACAATGAAGTATATGTGTCTTGATTTAATAGAACTGCACACATAGTCGTAAAGTTCCAATACATGTAGATAAGAGTTAGAAAAACTTATCATTAAGATACAAGTAGAGGTCACCAATGACTTGCCAGAATCTCTAACAGTAAATCCTGTTATGAACAGATGATAACACATAGTGCATACTTAAAAAGATACATGATCCACTAATTCACTTCATCAAATGGATAATTTCCTGTATATTATCATACTTTATTGCACACAATAAAACATGATGAATAAAAATTCAAACATTTTTTTACAGTGAGCCTAGAAAGTTGAAGTATTCTGAGGAGGAAGAGAAAGTGGTTGATACAGACTCTGATTTTAGTGAGCCATCCTTCCTTGATGAGCCTGATGTTTCTGATATGCTTATAAGGAAAGCAGAGGTAACATTTGAAAATAATATTGAAGATAGAATTAAATGCATGTTCAAGACAATAAACCCATATGATACTATGTAATACTATGTGAACAAATACCAATACAATACAATATAAAATAAAATTTACAATTCAATAGAGTGTTAATATATACAAATTATAACTATAACACATACAATGGAATAAGTAGAATACAATACAAAATCCAATCCAATACAATACAACACAACACAACACAACACAACACAATACAATACAAAATACAATACAATACCATACAATACAATACAATACAATACAAAACAAAACAAAACAAAAAAGTATATAATACACTTGAATCCAATACAATGCATCAAATAACTAAATTATATGAAATTCTTTTTTTGATGTGATTATGCAGAAAAATGCAGCGAACATTCCAGAAAAGATGGCATAGTACACCACCTCTTTCGTTAACTGTTAAACACTATATGGAAAATATACACAAACATATCAAATCTTTAAGAATCAATTCAGTTCTATTTACGTGATCATAATATTGATTCACTGGGTAACTGAATATCAGAGTGGTACTAAAAAAGTAATAATGCTAAATTTGGAAGAAATAGGATGGAATGAATCAATTTGGAACACCTTTGGTACCTCTAAAAAGTGTTCCACTTGGGAGATGTTCCACCAATAGAGATTCATTTAACATTAAGTCAATTGGTCGGAAGTGTTCCACCCCTAGAGGTGTTCCACTTTATAGGTTTCACTGTACATTTATGATAATATTTCAGGCTGACAAGACTGATAACGCATCAGACATCAAAGGAGGAATGCTAGATGCCCTTGTGGTTCATGCAACAGCAGCCACCAAACATGGTAAGGAGTTTGAAACATGGATATGGGAATTGGGAAGGGCTCTAACACTAGAGCTTATGGTTTTACACTTCACTGACTGTGTATCAATGACATAAAAGTATAGGGGTCTTTTAATAGTACTAATGCTAATAGGGTGAATCATGGAAGTGATAATATATTGTTACATCAGAAATGAATGGTTACTCTTTTATTATTGCAATCAAGTAATGACATTTCGTCATGGTGATGCTGTGTTTGATTTTTTTGAGGGAGTTTGTAGAGTGTGCTTTTATACTACTGGCACAATGCTGAAAGGACTGAAGATCTCTTTTGGAATATTCTTGATAAACATACATGCTTGAGTTGCTTTGATTAACTTTCATGAATAATATCATGTTTTAAGGTGAAATTATTGGTCAGTAATACAATATGTTAATCTTTTCTTATGTACCTGTTATTCAAGAATGATCGCTAAATATGCTAGGAAATTAGTTAAGCAGATTATGATTACATAACATTTCTACACCCACTCTTGAAAATATGTCCAATTATGTAATTGTTACATGTTCACCAGGAGCCATTTCTTGGCACTATGCTTTGGACTGTTCACAAACTCATTAATTCACAGATAAACCCTCCTCCTGGAGATAAAAATATTCACTTAATTTTATAAAACCTTCCAAATCCAACTTTGTGGTAGGTTATTGATAAAATAGATAAAAATAAACGTTAGTTATCACTAATTTTATTTCTTCTGCAGATTTTATGTACCAAGAAGCGTTCTTGACGACATATCGCACAATGTTGACCCCCAAGGAATTGATTGATAAGATCATGTATCGCTACAATAAGTTCAACCCGCATAGTGATGATCGCAAGAAGCGGCTGGCCAGGAATGCATTCTCATTGTTAGTGAGAGTTGTCGATGAACTATGGTAAGTTAAATTGTTGGATACATTCATTGTTTAATGATTCCTATTAAAAACTGGAATTGAGAAAATACACTCTAATTCCTAACAAACATCCTACATGGAAAAATGACTGACACCATCTCTAGCTGTGTTTAGATTGATAAAAAAATGAACTTTAAAATACAAAACACACCTTCCTAAAATATTGAGCAAAAATATAAAAGCTTTTATGTATAAAATACTGTGTATAGCCTCTGCACAAGAAAACTATTTTTTTCATATGATAATCTGTAATTTTATTTCATTTACAGTTGCGAACTAGACAATGTGATAGTGAATACACTTCTTGGGATAGTTTATGATTTTGTGTGTAGTGGGGAGTTGATGCTTGCACGTATTCTACGCAAGAAAGCGCTGGAGAAGTTGGAGCTGAAGAGACTGATGATGACCAATATTTCTAGCACTGTCCTCTCTTCTAGACCTGCTACCACTAAGTATGAATCATAATTTTGTTATTGAGATAATTATATATATCATATATCATATATGAAATCTACATGTAAATTTAAATTACATCTAGAAATGTGGTTTTAAAAAGTGTTTATGTTGAAAATGTGACTTCTTGGTCGAAGAGATTCCCCATAGACCCCATGTTAGAAAATCACTAAAAGTGAAATATCTTTTCTTGTATTGGACAGATAATATTTTATTTTACTAGACATATATTTATTTGTATAACTATCAGATAAAAAAGGGTAATATGAATATTAAACCACTGAAACTGATGAATGTTGAAGCTTAAGGGAACTTTCTAATACCCTGCCATGTTATCTCCCCAAAATTAGCTACCTGGTTGTGAAACTGGTAACTACCTGCTCGCATCTGGGTTATCGAAAAAAATTATTCTGAGCCATTTGTTAAGAGCTGCATTATCTCTACTTTGCTTCAGGGAGTTAAAAGTGACTGATTTCAAGGCCCATGAAATAGCTGAGCAGATGACACTCTTAGATGCAGAACTCTTCCAGAAAATAGAGGTAAGAGCTATAAATACATGCATTAATATTAAAAAGTATTTTACCTATATTTGTCTCAGATGGTGGGCCTATGGAATCACCCAGTCCTTTATCTGTCTTCTTCTTTCTGCCCTGTTGTCTGTACTTCCATCTGTATAATATGCTGTCATGAAAGACGCTTTATTTTTATTTGTTATATTTGATTATGTTGGAACTCCAGTAGTAAACAATATGGATCATAATGTGTGTTATGATTATACAATCTATTTCAATGTTTCGTTTTAGATCCCAGAGGTGCTTCTCTGGGCCCAAGAGCAGTCTGAAGAACTGAGTCCCAACCTTACAATGTTTACAGAACACTTCAACAAGATGTCATACTGGTAAGAATTTCATACATAAATGCACTTTGTATGTACGAGGGGTGATCCAAAAGTCTTGGACGCCCCGGTCTAACTTTGCTATTTTCTAATATAATTACATGAAACTTTCAGATATTAAAGATCAACATCTAAACAACTTCATGTATAAGTTTCAACAGAAAATAATATATTTTAGCTACTTTTCTAAATATCTTTTAATACCGGGTCCCTGCCACCCGGAACGGTATTTAGTTATAGCAAATCACGTCACAACTGTTATAGTATGGCAAATACTTTAGTTGCAGGTTCACAACCTAAACCAGTCATGATATGAGAGAATTTTCGATTTTCAATCTGAGTGTCATCTGCCATTATCATTTTCACATATTAAGACCTACTTTTCAACACATTTTTCACGATTTTGAACACATTTTCATACAGCTTTACCAATGAATGAAAGACATTTATGACACCACCATATCTTATGTGATACAAACGCTGCTGGAGTGCTACTCTCAACCTCATCCAATGAGTAAAAAACATTTTTTCAACTCTCTTTTCAACTTGGAGAAAAGGAGGAAAATTACACGGAGCCATACATAGACTGTATCGTGCATATGGTAGCTGCTCAAGGTCAATAATAGTGAAAATGTGTTGTAGTATTCTTTGTTCCACTTTGATTTCTTTCATGTTCTGCATTTCAGCAGCCATCTTGGAGCAAAAATGATACCAGAATGAGGGTTGCTTGTCTGATGGCATTTTCTGAGAATTTGACATGTACGGCCATTGTCATATGTGACATTATAATTCAAACACAATTAATTGGTTGCCTAGTAACAAAGGAAGTAAACTAACGTGGTTTAACATTCAAAATTCAAAGAAATATAGTGGTCAAGGCTTGGGAAACAAGTGAAATGGCGGCAACATTTAAGGCTGAAAGTTGCCATGTGCAAATACCGTTCCGGGTGGCAGGGTCCCTGTATTAAAAACTATCTAGAAAACTATATAAAATATGTCATTTCTCCATGAAATTAATACACAAAGTAGTTAGGTTGTTGGTCTTTATTATTGGAAAGTTTAAAGTAATTTTATCAAAAACCAACAAAAATAGAGCAGGGCGTCCAAGACTTTTGGATCACCCCTCGTACATAGAGAATAAAGATGTCAGTTTCAGTATCAATCATTTTACACGTGACCATCAGGATATAGCATATGCATTTAAAAGTTAAGATACATGTACCTATGGGGTGATATTCGAATTCTGCGGATATATGTTGACATGGTAACAAATACAAGCAGGGTGCTACTTTTCCATAGATCCAATACAATTCCTTGACTTGGTACAGGCCCGTAGCCAGGATTTGCCAAGGGGAGGGTTCACTTTTTGAAAAATTCCAGGGGGGTTCACTTGTGACAATTTTGGTCCAAAAATGGCCGAAATCACTTAAAAAAATGCTCAGAATGGTGAAAAACTGCATGATTTTGAAAGATTTTTTGGCCAGGGTAGGGGTTCGCTCGAACCCATCGAACCCCCCTGGCTACGGGCTTGTAGGTATATAGATACTGTATATGTGTATGAACTATGAGGCCATACACATTGATGTGCATAAAAACAATAATTCTACAACATCTGTATTTAAAAAATAGATTTTATATCCTGAAGACCTAGACATTCCTTGATTTCAAGAAACTGATCATAAAATACAGATTCCTTCATTTAAACCACTTTTCCCCTTCCTCTATAATACACATAGCCATGCCAGGAGTGATACCCGAGATAAGCATTATTTCAGCATTAATTCAATTATTGAGAAATATTGTTTCTATGCTTTAAGGTGCCGATCTATGATTCTAACACAAGAGGACCCCAAAGAACGAGAAAAATACTTAGTCAAGTTCATCAAGGTCATGAAGGTATGATGCGTCTTTTTAAAAATAACATTTTTGTTCAAAATAAAATTCTTGTCCGAAATGCAGACCAATATTTGATGATCATATTTTCAAAGAACAATTTATATGATGTCAGGTGTTCAAATGGATTTTAATTCAATACTTCAACCTTTAAAGGTTAATCGTTTCTTTGTTTGGCAAAATAAAGTGAAATAGAACATGTTGAATGGGTTACTGTACTTCAAAGTTCATTTTATAATATAATTGTCATGCAAACTGTTAAAATAAGTGAAATGGGAAATTTTATTGTAAAACTCAACAAGCACATGTATATTATTTAATTTGCAAGGAAACTTACTCATGAAGGGCATTTCAATAGAATTGTCAAGCAAACTGTTAAACTAACTAAAATAGGAAATTTTTATTGAAAAACATAACAAGTACATGTATAATATTTAATTTGCAAGGAAACTTATTCAGGAAAGGCATTTCAATCAATATATCTTTTTGATTCCAATTTCTATGTGTTTATTTTACAGCATCTGCGTAAGAAGAACAACTTCAACTCCTACTTAGCCATCCTGTCAGCTGTAGATTCAGCCCCTGTGAGGAGGCTGGAGTGGCAGAAACAAAATGTGGAGGTGTTAAAAGATTTCTGTACACTCATAGATAGTTCCTCATCCTTTAGGAACTACAGGAATGCGTTGGCTGAGAGTGAACCTCCATGTATACCTTATATGTACGTAGCCTGTTTCAGAAAAATTAAGTTATCTTTGTCGATTTTTGGGTGTACATGTAATTTTTTTTGTAATTCATGTACAGCTGTACTAATTTTTGTTAAAAGTCCCATGATCACATGATCGATTTTTTTGTTTTAAAAAACCAGGTTAAAAAACTTGTGTAATGTGAATATTGTTTCTCGTTTTGTGTAATGTTTCTTTTTGCTTGTATTATTTCAGTGGTTTGGTGCTACAAGATCTTACATTTGTCCATATTGGTAACCAAGACTTCCTGCCAGATGGCTGTGTCAACTTTGTCAAAAGATGGCAGCAGTTTAACATTCTGGACAATATGAGACGCTTCAAGAAATGGTGCGTGTTTTCTCTTTTATATTTTATTGTCTGCCCTTTTCACTTGGAATGGCCATTTTTAAAGCTTGAGATGTTTGTTTCAAAGATTTCCAATATTCTTACAAAAATACCAAAATTCTCTCATTTGTCTAGAAATCAGAATTTCTATTTTTAAGAGGCTGTTTTTATGATCAGGTACATGTATCAAATATATGCCAGTTTCTATTGGGTTGAATAATGAAATGAAGTTCTTTTTTTTTTATTGTAATTCAGTGGCAGATTTATTCAAACTGTTTAAGATCAGTGGAAATATTCATTAGGAAAGTTTGACTTGAAAATTTGATTTATACAATTGAGAGACATTCGCATTCATTAGATAAATATTTTTCTATACTTTTCAGCCATTACACATTCAAGAAGAACCCCAGGATTATAACCTTCTTCAATGACTTTGATGATTTCCTGAGTGAGGAGGCACTTTGGCAGATCTCTGAGTCCATTAAGCCAAGAGGAGGCAAAAAACACTAATTATGTGCATAATTAAAATGTGATATGATTGGCTGGAATATATTAGTGTTATACACATGAACTTAAATGGCTAATATAAGTGATATATTTGGATTTGATTGGCTTTAATGAAATGGAATATATTATACACCATCATTTGATTCGCTGAGAGATACACATTTAAGATTTTGTTGGCTCAAATGAATCATGTGACAGCACTGATTATGTGCATAAATAAAAGTCAAAACATGATTGGCTGGAATTTGTTACACACTTGGATCTACAGTTGGATTAAACTAGCTGAATTGAGTGATACTCTTGAATTTGATTGCCTTAATTGAATCTGAAGACTATGTCAAATCTATCTGCCATTCAAGAATCACACTCAGAGTCACAACTGGTATGAGTGGCTGAAGTCTTTAACCTGAACTTGATTGACACATAGGGAATATTATCTGATTATGATTGGCTAATATGAACAACAAAATGAACATCAGATTGGCTGGAAATAATGAAGAAGTTAATCCTGATTGGGTGAAAGTAGATTAGTCCTCCTGTATCAAATAAGCTGAACCAAGTGTAGTAGCCAGCAAGATATGCAAGATCTGCATAAAAAATGTGATAAGAAGACTGACAGGTTAGGATGACAGACTCTTCAATCGGAAATTAAGAAAGTCATGGATTGCTCTAACTATGGAATGAGAATATATGCATGTTCCAACAAAAATGGGCTAACCATAGAATGTGCAATTTTATGCATCGCTGTTTACCATTGGTTTATCGATCCATACTACAATACTTCAGTATATGCCACTATATGTAGGCAAATTATATATCCTGAATAGCATAGACATGTATAAAGCTACATGCAAGATGTACATAATTTTGTCAAATATGGGTATGTTCTTAATTTATATAACCGATGCAGTGCTTGTACTACTAATAAATATACACTATGTTAACAGGGAATTAGAATAAAAGCTCTTGTATGCAATATAAGTTTGTACTTGTGCAGATATAAAAAAGCTGTAAGACAAACTGGTAAATCTCTATGTCACTTCTTGGTAAAACTTTGTACTATATGTCTTATATCCTAATATCCAATAGATGCAACTGTGCTTTATATTTAGCTGTATATCACAGGTAAATTACTGTCCATGTAAAGGTAAACTTTTGTGTGCATAATACCTTATGCTACAAAGTTGTAGCTAAGGTAAGATTGTAACAGTTAATGCAGATGTATAAAAGGTGAAGCTTTAGGTTATAGGTAAAGCTGAACTAGAGCTACATAGATAAAGCTGCACTATGTTATAGCTAAAGCTGTACAACAGGTAGATAGGTAAAGCTGTACTATAATACATTTTTATTCTATATATAAAGCTGTACTAAAGTACACTTTTATGCTATAGCTAAAGCTGTACTACAGGTACAAAGCTGTACTATAGTACATTTTTATGCGATATTTAAAGCTGTACCGCAGGTGCATAGGTAAAGCTGTACTATAGTACATTTTTATGCTATATTTAAAGCTGTACCACAGGTGCATAGGTAAAGCTGTACTATAGTACATTTTTATGCTATATTTAAAGCTGTACCACAGGTGCATAGGTAAAGCTGTACTATAGTACATTTTTATGCTATATTTAAAGCTGTACCAAAGGTGCATAGGTAAAGCTGTACTATAGTACACTTTTATGCTATATTTAAAGCTGTACCACTGGTTCATAGGTAAAGCTGTACTATAGTACATTTTTATGCTATATTTAAAGCTGTACCACAGGTGCATAGGTAAAGCTGTACTATAGTACATTTTTATGCTATATTTAAAGCTGTACCACATGTGCATAGGTAAAGGCTGCACTAAAGTACACTTTTATGCTATATTTAAAGCTGTATCACAGGTACAAAGGTAAAACTGTACTATAGTACACTTTTATGCTATATTTAAAGCTGTATCACAGGTACAAAGGTAAAACTGTACTATAGTACACTTTTATGCTATATTTAAAGCTGTACTACAAGTACATAATAAAAGCTGCACTAAAGTACACTTTTATACTATATTTAAAGTTGTTTCATAGGTATTAAAGCTGTACTATAGCACACTTTTATGCTAAGTTGTACCACAGGTGCATGCATGTACATGGGTAAAGTTGTATATATGTTATTGGTAAATCTCTATATATTCAGTTTTATCATGTTTATTTTATATACTTGTGGTCAGTGATATATCTTACACAGAAACAAATAATAATTGTTACATGTTATTTACAAATGATTTTGCTTGTTAGAATCAATTAATGTGGAACATTTTTTTGTTCCTAAATGTAAAATTTACATTGGCATTTACTAAGCTGGTCACAAAAATCTCAATCTTCCATGCATTGGGGATCTCTTTTAGAAATTGTCACAATTTGTGCTTTGGTTTCAAAGTAGCCATGATAATGAACAATTAAAAACCAGAATTGTATGTTATGATTGTATTTAGAAACAGACCCCAGTGTAATAAGGTCACATTTGACATGACATGAATCGAGGGAAGATGATATAGAAATACCAAATAAACTATCCAGAGTCCCAGACTTCCTCCATCCCCTCCCTTGAATAGAGGGAGAGCGTTCACTGGGGATTGATGCGAGTAAATTATTTTCAATCATAATTTAATTTAGGCAATAGAGTTGAATGAACATTACTTAAGTGCATACTATGGCAATAATTATTGATGGTCAAAACCAGAGGGCCAAAGTCAACATCCATACTTCTGGCTTCGTCCTCATTAGGGGAGAAACAAAGGTGCCAATTTCCAATCCCCCTTCCAATTGTGGGAAAATCAAGGGTGCCAGTTTGCAGCAAAATTAACTGTTATTGTTGGATATTTGGATTTTGGCATAATACCTCAAAATGAATGGTTTATACTGCTATGAGGTGGTGCTAATAGAAGGAAGCCACCCCTTGTGATAAGTTTCTCATTGTATTGTTTCCGTTAAATAAAACCACCTGCTTATATTTTAGCCATTTTAGTTTTTTTAGTTCCAGGTTTTAACTTTTTATTATCATTTGTATAATATTTTATTTTATTGTATAACCTCAGTTAAACTGAATTTTATAGTTGTACAGAATTTGTATTTTTAACCAAGAGAGAAATGTTGATGTTTAGTAACTTTTTAAAATATGTTCCATAATTAGTGACCATGTAGAATTGTTACATTGCATATTATAAGCTATTTTAGATGTACATATTGTTACTATGGTGATACATTATTGATAATAAACTAATAAATCTAATGCTTTAAACCATCATGAAATGTTTTGTCATTAAATAGGATAAATGCACCCCACCTCATTTATTTACATTGGATATACTATTTATTTATCTATATGCCAACTGAGAGATACCAGCTGAAGGTGTTGATTTGTTATATCATCTCTTACATATTAGACTATATTAACTCTATTTAAAAATTATAATGTATCTTTAAAAAACTTTGGGAATGTTTATGAGAAGTTTCAGAAACATTTATGAATATCTAAATGGAAATTTTAAATTAAAAATTATTTTTGTTCTTGACCAGGATCAGTTGAGGTATCTTTGTCATTTGTATTCTTTTTCCTTGTATTCAGAAAACATGAGCATGCGAAAATGGGTTTGATGACATCATAGAGCACCCCAAATTCAAATAGCCATTGTAGATGTGAAAACCTGGATGTTGACAGCATTAACAGATCCATTTTGAACCTGTTTCCATTTTCTGTATTTCACAAAAAATCATTGAATAATGCCTTTAATTTTCATTCAAAGAATTAGTTAACATATATCAAGCCCACTGCAAGAAGGGATACCATATTGTTAAAGCCATTGTTTTTGTGACTGACATTAGCATTTGACATTCAACATCTGTAAAAATTGATACAGATGCTTTTTCAATCAGGTTGTGTTATTTTGTCATGCAATGTCTTGTTATATGCAATGTCAGCAGCATCTATTATAGGTGAATGCTTCTTTTTCAGGTATAGATAAGGAATAATTGCACCATGGGCTATGGTTGTACATATAGGAACAATACATGTAGACAGCGTCACAGCAATGAATACATTAAAGGCTACAGGTAATCCCCGGGATTGATCCCCGGGCGTGACGTATTTCGTTCAGTGCTCTTCTAATGAACCTCGCCTTGAAAAAATGTTTGAAAACTTTTTGAAACAAATCTCTTGAATAAGTAACCAGGCTTGGTGTGGAATATACGGTGAGGTGGACGATCTTTTGTGTTAAAGGTTAAGTAATGTTAAGTTCCTGCACATATTTCTGATTGCTAAGTTGATTAACTCACCAAGGAAACTACTTAAAAATGTTTGCAAAAATATTGATGTTTTTTCAATCATGTTTTTTAAATTAGAGTCCATTTCACTGCTTCATTGCGTCAGTAGAACGGCAAAAATAAGAAATTGGGAGACCATTGTGCAATAATATATGGAAAAGTATATTCATAATGTACATGAATGACATTTGTATATTTCAGATTTTTTAGTTTTTTGTGCAATAAGCCTGTGCCGTGGTTAATATGCCGTCTTGTAATTTGAAGAATTTCAGCCATGTTAATTTTATTGAAAATAACATGGCAGAGAAGCATCCAAATATAAGAGGCCACACACTTTATAAGCCAAACTACAAGCAATCCAAGATAAACAAATGTCCTTCATGTACAACAGGAATATATTTTTCCATATATTATTGCAAAATGATATTTTGATTTCTTATTCTTTAGCTTTTACTGACGCAGTTAAACAGTGAAATGGACTCTTATACTTTTTTCATTGGACTCTAGAGTACTAGAGGAGCTAGGGGCATTTTCGGCCATGGGGCATTTCCGGACAAACCCTTTGGATCAGGTAAGGTCCAAAGTATTATAGCAAAGTGATAAAGAGTTGGATGTTATAAGGGGGAGGTTGGCTATCAGGGGCGGATTTGGGAACCAAAAAGGGGGGGGCAAATTTCAGGTGAGAGAAAAATACTACTATATTTTCTTCAAAATTTGGCCTGGAATTAAAAAATAAGGCCTTAAAGGCCCAGTGATGACCAAAAAGGCACCCCCAGATCCGTCAGTGGCTATGGTGGTGGTCATTAGAGAAATACATTTCAGTGGGAGTAGATGTAAGGTCCTTAATTTTTGAATATCACACAGTCACACTAAATTTTGGAGGCTAGGCTTCTCCAAGTAGATCTTAAAACCGGGTTAAGGTCAGTGTACACTGTATATACAGTTAAAACGGGTTGAAATGAAACAGTCTAGCCAGAAGCAATAATGGCCTTGTACATGATGGTGAGTCTCTGTACTTCTCTGCGCTGGTAGAGCAGTTACCACCACTTTGCGGAAAAAGCATTTAATTATTGTAAATGATGAATTATGCTTAGAGCCTATAATCAAGTTCCATCAACCCCATTTTGTAGCATTTACAATCTGCAAGTTTGAATCTTAAAAAGATTTAAAGAGATCTGACTCAATCACATCAGTGCATTTCATTTAAAAAATGTATACACATGATGAATAAAGATGTTGAAGCTTAAATACTCAATCAACAAATGATTGTGTACAAATGTTGACAGCTGTAGGAAAAAATAGTTGGGTGTTGGGGGAAATGGAATGGGTTAAAATGAAAACTTAAATTTTGCCTTTCTACAACTATTAGGAATGTTTCAAATTCACCGACTTCGACAACAGAGTCCCGACACCGACTTGGTTACTGTAAATCGATACTGTAATTATGTATTTTCAAAGTTTATTTTTGAGGTTAATATCTACCTAATTCAATTGGATTGTTTCAAGCTTCCGACTATGGAACACGCGACTTGATACAGTCTCAAAACTACTGTAAATCACCATAGTATTTATAGTTATTGGTGAAAGAGAAATTATTTATAATATTTGTTGACTATATAATCAGAGGGACATAATATTCTGTTATGTATTCACTGGGTTTTTATTATAATATATAATAATAATGAACATACAAGTGTGGTAAAGCTAATCTGACGATTCTGAGGAGGAAATACTAATGCCAAGTCCTGTAATAATTTTGGGCATTTTTTTCAATAGAAATCTTTCTTGGGATTTTAAAACTCTTCTGTGGAGTTCAGCTAGTGTCTCTGTTTTCTTCTTCTTTTTCTTCTTTGTTGGAACTGCGAGTTCCTCATCATGATCACTCGACATATTATGTGCGATATTATCCCGGAAATCGTCCATCTGCTGATCGTCATCCTCATTAAAAATGGTGACGTTTTTGTCTTGAGTTGACGTACTTGCAGTTGCAGCTTGGGTCTGGGCTTTTGTAGACTTTGGGGTCAGGTTTTTTACAGGCTTTGGGGTTGAGGCTTCCACAGGATTGGGAGTCTTCGCTTTGGTAGGCTGGGGGCAGGGTTTTTCCGCAAACCTCATTTCCATTTTCTTCACATCATCAATAGCCAATCTGAAACACAAGTCGGATAAAAATTTTATAAATAAGCAAAATCAAACTGAAATTTGAAAGTCTAGTAAATAATAGTACTAAAAAGAATGAAAAAACCCTAAAATCTCTTACTGAATTTCTGTATCTTTGACAACCTCCTTTCCTGTAACCAACTTCCCAAGCTTTGTAGAAAGACGGGTCTGTAGCTGATCATAGCTTGTTTGTTTGTAGTAACTCGACGTGTCTTCTGTTAGAAGATGGAGATTGTCTTTGATGGTATCGACAATTTCTGTCCAACAACATGGATGCACCAAGTAGCTTCTTAGTAAAAGTAAAACTTCTGGTTTCGAAAAGAAAACCTTTCGTTTTCTTTTTGTCAAGAGCGTAGGTTCTGAAACAGATATAAATTCAGTAATAAGGCTGCTGCAAGGCGAACGCGTGCTTTGATTTGCACAGTGTCATGTTTATTCTTCACAGCTAACGTGCCATTCAAACACCACATTCATGTAAAATGTTAAGCCCCGCAGAGTACGTAGTGTTTATAATATTGTGGGATATACATGTAGTTTCTGATTTCATTGAATAAATAAACGAAACAAACACGTACTGTTTTGAAATATCGAATGCATATTTAGAAAAAGCTGTACGATGCCTGTAAGTATATGAACGTACATATTTGTTTGCTAATTAGTCAAGTAACTTACCTTTGCTTACAGTTTTCGAAGCCATGTTACTCGTGTACTATCGTAAGAAGGTTGTGACACACCAGTGCACAAGTCAAGTAAATATATGAACGCATACGCATAGACACGTGTCACTGCCAAATACTCAGCGATGCACAAACTTGTCTCATGTTATGCCTGGGTCACATAGGCTCCGATCCATCGGCCGGCGCCCGGCCGATTGAGTGTTTTGTTCAATATTGTATTCAATTTTGAACAAAATACTCAATCGGCCGGGCGCCGTCGTGAAAATCAGAGCAAATGTGACCAAGGCATTACTTGAAAAAATCGTAGTTTTAGGACCGAATGAAGCGTATGGGCTCTGGGCTTAAACAATGCCGTTACTGTAAATCAATTGCAAATTAAATTAGACCTTATGTAAAACGTGTAGTCTATCGTCTAATGATGAATGAAATAAATCTGAAAACCATTAAATGATGAATATTTGTCGAATATGCATTGGAATTTATCTAGAAATATTGCATGGTAAGTAATCAGTTTATCCGCAAAAATAAACTTTGAAAATACATAATTACAGTATCGATTTACAGTAACCAAGTCGGTGTCGGGACTCTGTTGTCGAAGTCGGTGAATTTGAAACATCCCTATTGATATGTTGACATTTGGAAACTACAAAATGAGCAATATTTTATATTATTTAAAAAATCATATTGATTTAGATCATTGGCAATTCTCCAAATATCAAAGATTGAACTCATGATAAGAAATGAATAGAAAATCTCGAAAACCAATGGGTTAATCTATCGAAAACAGCTGTGCTACTAATTACTCAAAACTAAATATTGATCCTTTTCAATTTAAAACAGTGTTCTTTCCTTTTAAAATACTGTTTATTGATTCTATATGATTCTGCATATCTATTACATTGCCAAATGTTTATTAATCTCGAAATTTCTTCGGATGATGTCATATTTTATTCGTATTTGCGGTTAAACTCCTATGAATTAATACAGATAAACAAGGGTGTTTCTCTTTCATTATTGGATTTTTTGCTCTGAGTTGTCATTAAGGATACATAGTGTACCTGTATAGCGTATCGGTCTATTGATGTAAATTACAGAACACAAGACGTTATAAAGTGCATATGAGGATATTGTGATATTGAAACATTGGATAATTAACACTGTATTATAACAGTATTCTACGGAGGAAATTTGATAGAACTACCTTCATTTAGGATTATTACTACTGCTTTGAATCTTGGATTTTAAAAGGTAAACCACTGGTATTACTAGATGTGTGATGTAACTAAATGAATGTGGCATTATTTAGCCTTTGTGACAGAAATGTTAAATCACAGAAAATACATTTATATCAAAGTAGTGGGATTTAAAATTAAATGTTTTACCTGAAGAATGGTATTATGAGGATTTGAATCTATTTCAAATTCCCTTAGTTAGCCATAGATGCTCTGGCAGGTTACTATTTGAGGGTAAAGCAATGGGAAACAAGTGTACATGTACATCAAAGACAGTTTGTGAATTTCCAGATGTTGAATTCAAAAATTCGTAAAAATGATAAAAGATATATTTATTTCAGGGGTTCAAACTTATTTTGATTCTTTATATTGATGTGTCACAATAACACATTTTACTCTGATATTCTAAACTGAAATTTGAGAGCAATCATAATTTAACTTTATTCTTTATTTTTAGCAAGATGGGTTAGACAGTGAAGAATTTCCCAAGAACTCAATTTAACATGGACGGCAATGTTACTTAGTAAATTATTATACAAAGGAAAGAAAAGAAGAATGAAACGCTTTATGCAGTTGGGGTTTATACTAGTCGTCCTTCCAGTATTAGTTCTGTCACAAGCAGGTATGATTTTATATTTCTTAAAGCCTTTCCAAAATTTGTGACTTTCTTTAAAAGAAGTTTTATTTGCACTCTTTGAATGAGAGATAATCCTTCGATTTAGCCTTATCCAATCAGAATTGGAGAATCAAATTCAGCTATTTAATCAGAATTAGTCAAAAAATTGTATTTAGGGTTATTTGAATTTCATCAACATCAAAAATATATATTTATTTGTCGTAATCTGAGAGAAGTACCCGGGGTATCTTGCATGTTTGACTTATGGACAGTGCGAAAAGAGCTACTATTATTACTCTCTAGCAATAGATCCTTGTTTTTAAATGACAGGCAAATGAGTTAGTAACCATGGCAACAGTTCCCTGGCACTGGAAAAGAATTATAGACTGAAGTCATTATATATTGCCATGATATCGTCTCCATTGTGAGAAATCACAGTGTTTCATCAGTTTCTTTCTATTTTAATGAATTTAATGAGCTAAAACCAGAAAGATGAGATATGAATATCAGAATGCATAGTCTAGATATTCTCCCTTTTCTTGCTTTACATTGTTTTTGATAGCAGTTTAAATACCTTTGCCATAACATATTTCATACAGCACTGGGGATTGCTTGTAAGATTTGGCCAAATGAGAGTTTTGCAAATATTGAATGGATGTGGTTTTATTATGTCACCACCAAAAAGTGGTGACATATTGTTATGGTCTCCGTTTTTTTGCGACGGCGGTTGGTGGTTGGCGTCTGGCGTCCGGCGTCTGGCATCCGGCGTCCGGCGTCTGTAACAATTTCTTACAACTTCCTATAACTTAACAAATACTGTTTAGACTGACTTCAATTTTTTTCTAAATCATCTACATCTTCTCAGAAGTTCAAATCTGACTTTAGATTTGACATTTGACCTTCAATGACCTTCTCAAGGTCAAAAAAGGTCAAAAAGGTCTGTTTTCAACTTGCTTCAAATTGACTAAATTTTTTTTTCAAAATCATCTACGTGTTCTCAGAAATTCAAATCTGACTTAAGATTTGACATTTGACCTTCAATGACCTTCTCAAGGTCAAAAAGGTCTTTTTTCAACTTGCTTCACATTGACTAAATTTTTTTTCAAAATCATCTACATGTTCTCAGAAATTCAAATCTGACTTTAGATTTGACATTTGACCTTCAAATCTGACTTTAGATTTGACATTTGACCTTCAATGACCTTCTCAAGGTCAAAAAGGTCTTTTTTCAACTTGCTTCACATTGACTAAATTTTTTTTCAAAATCATCTACATGTTCTCAGAAATTCAAATCTGACTTTAGATTTGACATTTGACCTTCAAATCTGACTTTAGATTTGACATTTGACCTTCAATTACCTTCTCAAGGTCAAAAAAGGTCAAAAAGGTCTGTTTTCAACTTGCTTCAAATTGACTAAATTTTTTTTCAAAATCATCTACGTGTTCTCAGAAATTCAAATCTGACTTAAGATTTGACATTTGACCTTCAATGACCTTCTCAAGGTCAAAAAGGTCTTTTTTCAACTTGCTTCACATTGACTAAATTTTTTTTCAAAATCATCTACATGTTCTCAGAAATTCAAATCTGACTTTAGATTTGACATTTGACCTTCAAATCTGACTTTAGATTTGACATTTGACCTTCAATGACCTTCTCAAGGTCAAAAAAGGTCAAAAAGGTCTGTTTTCAACTTGCTTCAAATTGACTAAATTTATTTTTCAAAATCATCTACTTGTTCTCAGAAATTCAAATCTGACTTAAGATTTGACATTTGACCTTCAAATCTGACCTTCTCAAGGTCAAAAAAGGTCAAAAAGGTCTGTTTTCAACTTGCTTCAAATTGACTAAAAAAATTTTTCAAAATCATCTACGTGTTCTCAGAAATTCAAATCTGACTTTAGATTTGACTTAAGATTTGACATTTGACCTTCAATGACCTTCTCAAAGTCAAAAAAGGTCAAAAAGGTCTTTTTTCAACTTGCTTCAAATTGACTACTTTTTTTTCAAAATCATCTACATGTTCTCAGAAATTCAAATCTGACTTTAGATTTAACATTTGACCTTCAATGACCTTCTCAATGTCAAAAAAGGTCAAAAAGGTATTTTTTCATCTTGCTTCAAATTGACTAATTTTTTTTTTCAAAATCATCTACGTGTTCTCAGAAATTCAAATCTGACTTTAGATTTGACTTAAGATTTGACATTTGACCTTCAATGACCTTCTCAAAGTCAAAAAAGGTCAAAAAGGTCTTTTTTCAACTTGCTTCAAATTGACTAAATGTTTTTTTCAAAATCATCTACATGTTCTCAGAAATTCAAATCTGACTTTAGATTTGACATTTGACCTTCAATGACCTTCTCAATGTCAAAAAAGGTCAAAAAGGTATTTTTTCATCTTGCTTCAAATTGACTAAATTTTTTTTTCAAAATCATCTACATGTTCTCAGAAATTTAAATATGACTTTAGATTTGACTTTAGATTTGACTTTAGATTTGACATTTGACCTTCTCAAGGTCAAAAAAGGTCAAAAAGGTCTTTTTTCAACTTGCTTAAAATTGACTAATTTTTTTTTTCAAAATCATCTACATGTCCTTAGAAATTCAAATCTGACTTAAGATTTGACATTTGACCTTTAATGACCTTCTCAAGGTCAAAAAAGGTCAAAAAGGTCTGTTTTCAACTTGCTTCAAATTGACCAAATTTTTTTTTCAAAATCATCTACATCTTTTCAGAAGTTCAAATTTGACTTTACAAGTTCTCAGAAGTTCAAATCTGACTTTAGATTTGACCTTTGACCTTCAATGACCTTCTCAAGGTCAAAAAGGTCTTTTTTCAACTTGCTTCAAATTGACTAATTTTTTTTTCAAAATCATCTACATGTTCTCAGAAGTTCTTCTTAAGGTCAAAAGGTATTTTCCAACTTGCTTTAAATTGACCAAATTGTTTTAGGTGGTGACATTTTGTCATGTTAATGCCTTGTTTCAATTTTGTTTTCATATTACCACTAAAAGAAGTATTTTTATTAAAGGAATTTTGGGCGACAGAAATGACAAAATATTGCTTCTGCAAAATCATTTGATGATGATCACGAGATGAAGCAACTTTGACATATTCTTTATCCTGCCTATTTTTAATTTAATAATCAACACAAGTACACATGATATCGGACAAGTTAAAAAAAAATTTTGATCATTAAAATCATCAATTATATAACTGGAAGTGTCTTCTGACACATAAAAACATTTCTATTATTTTGCCGTAGATTCGATTTTAAATGATCTTCAAATACTTACTATGATTTCTGTAATATCTTGACTTCTCCGCTTCGTGAAAAGAACATTATCACCATTTGCTTGACTCTTAAATTTACTTCGGGTCTACCAAGAAAAATCTCAAAATATAAAAGTTCTTAGAACTTTTTTAATCATCAGTCTAAACATGGCTTTTTAAAAGTTCAAACATCGTTTTTTTAATGGACTTTTTAAACAATGAATGCAACTCTAAAGCCAGACAAAAAAAGCCAGACAAAAAAATTTGAACCATTTTATCGCCTTTAAATTATATAAATCAAAGCATAAGGATTTATCTTTGACAGTATTACTTGGATTTTAAATCAAGTCTAAAATAAAAAAATTACAATGGGGGTAAAAATATTATATCCCTTCTACAAAATATGAAATAATGTTTTCCAAACTGCAATTTTTAATCGGCTTGACCAATAAACCTAATATAAAAATACCATAGCGTCTCACTCTAAGAAGAAAGATGACACAGTTTGTCATGACAGTGATTTCCTTTATTTTTTCCCTTCAGGTTCAAGATTAGACGTGTGTGAAGAATACAGTGAAGATGGTACCACTGTGACTTATTTTGCCTGTCAGGCTGGCCCTCGAAATGTGATAAAGTCACAGAAAGCAAATGGACGAGATGCATCATACTTTAACATGACTGTTGAGCCAGGGGATATGACATGTGGCCTGTCAGGGGGAGAAACAATATGCTGGATGGACTCTGTAAGTGATAAACTAATAATAAAACAATGAATTTCTCACAAAACTATTTTCTTCTTTACACAACCTTTATTTTAACTTCACAGGATGTTTGGATCAAATCTAGATCCTTTTCAACTGTTATAAAAAACTGAACGGTAAGCGCTACAAAAACAGTTGAATAAAAGCAATATTATGTCAGATTAATTCACCAAAAATTCATTCCCAATTCCCGCCAATTTATAGTTCCCTTGATCTCTGATTATGTTGTCATTGTTCTTCTTTATAAAAATAGATTCTTTAATCCATCTTTCTAGTCTCTTATCAAACCATGCATGAAGTTAAAATAAAGGTTGTGTAAAAAAGAAAATAGTTTTGTGATTTAAATCCAACCTGATGAACATTCTGTTACAATTTAAGCAGTATATCCCAATTCAGTTATAATTCTAGGTTTATTTATGGCAAATCAGAGAAAAATGTTTTATTTTCAACTGAATATTTAATTTTTACCTTTTTATGAATTTTACACAGGATCATTTGTTTTTTCAATGTTTGTAGATTAAATTGTTAAAATGGCAACCTTGGCATAAACATTTACAGACCAATGCAAAAAGTGACGGACTCAACTAGGTTAATATACGTGTAATTACATTTAAAGAGAGAATTTATTCATTAATTAGAAATCTGTTAGATTCTGCATTGTTCTTGTGAAGCAGCTGTTAAGGTTGCTTATAATAATACCATAAATGGACGGTAATGGTATATAAGGGGTTGGATCAAAAGTCAATATGGGATTTTTCATTAAACTAATTACTTTTTATTTTGGGGGACAGTGAATAGTAAGGTTATGCTATAGAAAAAATATTGAACATTAAGTGGGTTATTATGTAACTTCAATATTTGATATGATTTAATTATGAGCAGGGGAAGTTTAATTCACACGCTTTGATATTGTCCGCGAAGTTTAATCTCCTATCATTTTATAGGATCTTTCAATTCATGCATTGATTTCTCATATCAGAATGTCCTGAATGTCAGGATAAATTGAATCGATTTTAATGAAAAATTTTGCTCAATGCTACTTTTAAAATGTCAGTGCAGTCTGTATCTAAAGACAGCTGTACTTAGATATGACAATTAGCCATTTACAATACATGTGTCTAAAACCAGCTTAGACCTTTGGTAGTAGTTGTTATAAAAGAAATTAAAATTTTGTTTTACTTACACAGCAGAAAAAATCTCTGCAAGATTGTTTTTCCACTAACTGCAATTAATTTATTGCAAAGGACGCTTTATGTTAGACGTGTTACATCGTAATGAATAATTTAGACCAAGGCTCTCATAAAATTATTTGAGAATTGCATGTTCTGTGTTCATATTTACGGAATCAACAATTGATTGTAACCAGTACTGTCAACCCCTAAAGATTTTCTCGCGGGACAGATTTTTTAGACCCAGTGCACAAAATTCGCGGGATTTTGCGGGACATCTACTAAATTCACGGGATTTTGCGGGACATTTAAGGGATTTGCGTGATTGCGCAAATAGGAGATTTTTTTTATCAAATTCGCGGGATTTCGCGGGACCATTCGAGGGACAAACACCCTAATTGCGGGACAGTTAACAGGTGTACCACCGAAAACTTCATAGAGGGACAGATTTTTTAGACAAAGTGCCCTAAATTTGCGGGATTTCGTGGGACATCCACCTAAATTTGCAGGATGTCCCGGGACATTCAAGGGATTTGCGTGATTGGGACTAATGTAAAAGCGTGTAGAAGTACTTAAACCAAACTTTCAGATACTGATTAATCAAATATAATGCACCGTTACATTGTAACTTAAATAAACGTCAACACAATTTCACAAAATACACATAGGAATATTATTAAACAAAAACCATGCTTCAGGTGTAATTACCGTAATCTAACACGAAATTCAAAAATTCGGAACAATACTTTGCACTTTTCTGGCGTCGTGACCAACTATGAAACGCTTACCCCCTTAATGTTATATATTAAAATGTACTTATTCATATACTGTAGGCATGGGCTTTCAATTGAAAGCCCATGATATAGGGGTTCGATTAATCTACATCAAATTATAGGGAATGAGGTTAATTTTCTAGATAGGGTTTGTATAAAAAACCGGGTACCGGGTAGTAAATCCTCCATGCTGGGTTCAAACTTGGTACCCGGTCGAAAAAAACAAAAAACGAAATATACGAATACACAACATAATTAGATCATTAGAAAACGTGTAAGATTTGTTTTGAATTTACAAAAATGTATGTAACTTCCTTCAAAATTGAGCGAGAAGCTTCAAATAAAAAGCATTTTAAGGCTCTTTTCTTCCTCTATGATCTTGGTCATATTTCCATTGGTAATGAAGGGGGGGGGGTGCGATCGCACCCCCTCCTGGCTACGCCAATGACATTGTAAGACGATTTGAAAAACAAGACAAATCAATCTTACTCTATTTTCAATAGTTCGTATGTTGGTACGTGAATTGTTTTGATTATGATTTAAATCTGTAAATAGCTATCGTTGCTTTAGCAGAGAGGTGACGTGTGTTAATTTACATGATGCAACGTGTAAGATTTTGATTATTAATCATAATTTAAGTTATCCCAATTTATGACAAAATGTCCACTGGATTGTAAATTGTTATGTCTTACAATGTCATAGGCGTAGCCAGGAGAGGGTGCGATGGTGCGATCGCACCCCCCCCATAACCAATGAAAATATGGCCATAACGATAGAGGAAGAAAAGTGCCTTAAAATATGCTTTTTATTTGAAGCTTCTAGCTCAATTTTGAATCATGTTACATACATTTTTGCAAATTCAAAACAAATCTTACACGTTTTCTCATAATCTAATTATGTTATATATTCGCATTTTTCGTTTTTTGGGTACCCGTTTTTTTTGACCGGGTACCGGGTACCAAGTTTGAACCCAGCATGGAGGATTTACTACCCGGTACCCGGTTTTTTATACAAACCCTTTCTAGATATCAGCGTCCATTTATTGTAACTCGCGTTTGCTAACATTTGCTCAGTTCTGAGATGAAGGCCACATGGGTAGTAAAAAGGCCAACGTTGGAACTATTTGTGACCTACATCCCTATTTTCGTAATTAAAATGAAAGTTGAACCCTTCCCCTTTATTTTGATACCAAACAACAGCATGCTAGGTACTTAAAATTAGGTAAACTTTACTCCTCAAAAGTGCAAAAACTTAGCTTCTTATATAAGATAAGATTATCAAAATATAGGGGATTGCAACAATTTCGGAAATTTGCGGAGGTCAAAGCCACATTTTGCGGGACTTCGCGGGACAATGCGGGACACGCGAATTAGCCTAATTTTGATCAAATTCGCGGGATAATCCCGCCATTCGCGGGACACTTGACAGCTCTGTTGTAACACATGGTATGTCATCCGAAAAGTACATATAATTGATATCATATGTTTTGTGTAATTTTAATTAATTAATAATCTTAATTATTCCTACCCTCGAATATTTCAACCTTTTATTATCCTAACATTTGAATACTTTAATCCTTCAATATCATAACCCTTGAATATTTCAACCATTTACTATCCTAATATTTGAATATCCTAACCCTTGAATATCACGACCCTTGAATATTTTAACCATTTACTATCCTAACATTTGAATATCATAGCCCTAAAATATCATGACCCTTGAATATTTCAACCATTTACTATCGTAACATTTGAATATCGTAACCCTTCAATATAATGACCCTTAAATATTGATTATCATGGTCCTTGAATATTTCAATCATTTACTATCATAACATTTGAATATCCCAACCCTTGAATATCATAACCTTTGAATATAATTCAACCATTTACTTTTGAAACATTTGAATATCATAGTCCCTGAATATCTCAACCATTTACTATCTTAACATTTGAATATCATAACCCTTGAATATCCCAGCCAACTGTGAATCAGAATACAGGGACTATTTATTTATTTGATATCCTGAATCCCATTGAAAAATCCTTTTGTAAACGTGACATTCACAATACGCTGGTATAATATTAAAGATAGAATACTACTCTGGTATCATTGTGAGAGCCTTATATCAGTATCTTTCTAGAAAGTTGTAATTTGAAAAAAGAAAGGTGTGATCAGTATCAGAATGATCTAGTATATGGACTGTCTTAATACATTTATTTTCTATAAACCAGGACAATCCCTCCAAAGATCCAGATAAAGTAAGTTGATGTGGACTAACAATGTTACATGTGGTCATATTTTGTGTGGTTGTTGACCTTAATATGTGGTTGTTAACTTGCGTTATGTGTAACTGTTCATCACATTTTGTGTGACTGTTGACCTTAATATGTGGTTGTTTACTTGCGTAACGTGTAACCGTTGATCACATTTTGTGTGACTGTTGACCTTAATTTGTGGTTGTTAACTTGCGTTACATGTAACTGTCCATCACATTTTGTGTGACTGTTGACCTTGATATGTGGTTGTTGACTTGCCTTACGTGTAACTGTTCATCACATTTTGTGTCACTATTGACTTATGTTATGTGTCACTGTTGATATAATTTATATTTAGCTGTTGCCCACATGCTGTTTTACTGTTGAGTTACATTATGTGTGGCTGTTGAATTTATTTTATGTTGACTGTATTTGTCAATTTGTTGTTTTAAACCAAATTACACACTTCTTTGGCAATTTGTAAATATTATGTGTGGCTATTTGTGAAATGTTATGTTTGGCTGAATAGAATTATGTTTGGCTGTTCCTTTTAACCTTGTTACGTGATATGAGCTATAATTTGTGGCAATATGCAATATGTTTTATGAATGTATATGCCATGTGGGCATAGTTATGTTTGCATGAGTTAAGGTAATTGTGCAATCGTCATTTTTGGAAATCTCATTTCACCATTATTTTAATTGAGAAATATTTTGATTTAAACAACACTATCTATTTTATCATTATATGTAAATATCTACTCAAGATATGAAAAAGATATGAAAAAATAGATAGATAAATATATATGAAAAAAAAATAACCATAACATTACATATCCGTAATTATGATCATGAAAATTCTCATCATGCAGATCTACCTTAAGCAATGTATGAATGCAATACTGTTAAGCCCCGTTTACACTGACAGGTCTTTTTCACCAGCCTTTTTAAGTTGATCCTCTAGAGACCGGTGATGACAGAAAGTCTATTTTTATGATAGCCCAATGTGTCCTCCTGAGACCTGTGGAGTCCGATGGAGTCCCCTCTGACTGTGTAACGTCATGTATGAAGGCCTCAGTTACCATGGAAGTATCACATGATCAGATTTTAAAATAAAGACCGGTGAAAGAATGAAAATGCTCATTCCACAAAAAGACTGGCAGTCAGTCTTTTTGTAGCAGTCTCCATTGGACTTCACAGACTCAACAGGATTCCATCGGATTTTTAAAAAATACTGATCAAGACCGGCAAAAATCCTGTGAAGTCCGACCTAAAAATCCTGTCAAGACCAGCAAAAGACCGCCGGTCTTTTCTCCCATTGGAAATACACAGGGGATCAAAAAAGATGGGTCAGTGTAAATGGGGCTTTATACAAAGATTATTTCTCTTGCACACTCTGTATAATATGTGCTTGTAGTGTCCCATTTAGCAATGTGCTGATACCCTGTAAAAAGGCAACTACTTTATAATGTTATAATGTGCCTTTTGTTGTAGAAGACAAAGTACATCTGTTTTATATGTTTGTTTAGCTTAGGCTGTAAAAGAGCACCATTGTATTTTCTTTGATATTATATCAATACAAGGAGCATCACATTTTATCAATATATCCTGTGTGGATTCTTTTATAAATATTTTACTTTTAACAGTGGAAGTGTGGTGCAGTTCATATAGAAATGATTTTTGAAGTGATACACAACTAAAAGTAGATTGAACATGCAGTAGTCTGCAGAGCAGTTTATTGATAAAACTTTCAAGGCAATTAAAGCTTTCGGGATAAATTGAATTATGAAAAATTGCTGATTTCATTTGCAGTCTGACTGGCTTATACCAGTGCTGAAGTTATGTACATATTATTTAATAGCCCAGGTCCTATATCCTATCCAGTTCTGATTAAAGCTGTTTGATGTTTATTTTAATATTAATGAAATAAATAAATGGAATCTGTTTTTTGATGTTGTTGATAATTTTGTTTGTTGTAATCATTGTTATTCAACTGATACAGTTTATATTTTGTCTTACAGAAAGTGACGCCAAGTTGTCATATATGTGATGCCAGAGATGAATCACTAAGCCATCCTCCGTCACTCATGACTGATATTACTGGAGGGAGGGAAACCTATTGGCAGAGTAGAGCATGGTTCAGCCAAAACAGCAAATATAATTATCCCAATAACCTCCATGTGAACATCACCCTTAGCTTCAATAAACAGTACGAGTTTGCCGATGATATGAATATTGTGTTTGCAACTGGCAGACCCCACTCTATGGTGCTGTATAAATCAATTGATTACGGCGCCACCTGGATCCCACTACAATATTATAACCAGGATTGTCAGGAACTCTATGACGCAGGTATCTCCCAACCCAGTGACATCACCACTGAACAACCAGACATCGTGACATGCACAGAGGTTTATAGTGGCTCTGTACCTCTCTCAGGAGGCACAGTGAAGTTCCCTGTTAGAACAGAGAGGCAAAGACTATACCTCGGCCCTGCCTATACTAACTATGAGGTTTTGAATACGGCTATGCATGAAACAAACCTCTCTCAGTTCCTCACTTTCACAGATCTGCGTTTGAGTCTCCTTTATCCAGCAACAGATGGTTCAGAGTATAACGAGGACTCTAACCAACTCAGAAAATTTTCTTATGGTATCGCAGATATTGACCTGACTGCCACGTAAGTTGCCCTTCAGTCACACAGAAATCACAACATATGATATATCTTGTTATCTTATTATCCATAGTGTGATTAAACGGTAGAAAAAAACAAAAAATATGTATTCTTACGTAACATTTGTAAAAGAATGAATGGAAATTTGGTAGACATGTAGTGAAGCTCTCCATTCATTGATCAGCCAGTATTTGGATGCAGCGATGTCCTCTAAACTGATTTCCTAAATGTTTTTTAGAATTACTGGGGCTTCAAAATAGAGGAATATGCCTTTGTTTTTATCTTCTCCAAACATCAGTCTATATTGGCAGAACCCAGTCTCATTTCATAGGGACATAACCTAAATACTGTATGTTAAACTTCTATACTTTTCTTTTGTAGGTGCTTCTGTAATCTTCATGCTATTCAATGCATGGAAGATGAGGTGGGGCAGCATATATGTTTGTGTAGTCACAACACAATGGGCCGGGAATGTGAGCAATGTTTGCCACTGTATAACAACAGAACATGGATGCCGGGACATTATGTGCCCTGGCCTTTAGGCACAGCTAATGAATGTGAAAGTAAGACATCAACAATTTTGATTGTAAACTAAGAAATCAGTTATTTAGTGATTTTGTATTTAATATTCTTCAATTTTTAATGAGACTTTCATCTTCTGCATTTTCACATAATATATAAAGAAATATGGATTAAAATATAGGTAATTCTGCAAATGAAAACACTGCATTTCTGTTAGTTAGGTTAGATGTGTTTGAAAGTGAAACCCATAATTTATTTCGCACATGTTACTTTACCCTTAAACCCTATGATGAACTTGATTCATTACCATGGTAACATATTGTATTGATCAGAAAATTTTGATATTATGTCATTTTATATTAAATTATTATTGCACAGAACTCACACTTGATGAACATTTGATATTCAAGAAAATAAATGGGATTTTGAATTGCTAGATTGAATAGACAAGAGAATCATTGATCACTGATCATTGATATTTTTAAAAGGTTTCGTGTTAAAAATTGATTATGGATTATTGTTAACCATTTGTATGATTTTTCAAATGGGTTTATGATTCAACAATCAAATCATATACAGTATGTACATCAATATTAAGGCCATTGCTTTCCAAATAGTCTTGCTCCAAGCCCTTCTGACCCCAGAGACTTGATGAAAGACTAGCTGATTTCCTAATTGTTAAAAAATTCTAAAATTCACAGGTTCATCATAGTTGTTCAAATATCATATAGAAAAAGATGATAAATACCTCTTTCCATTTTAGAATGTGAGGCCAAGTGGCATATGCTAGTTACAATAACCTCTTAGTGTTATACTGTGTGTTACACAGGTGTGTAGACTAACTTAAAAATAAATTTCATATTTTAGAATGTGAATGCAACAACCATTCTGCAAGCTGTGTCTATAATGCTACCAAGGGCTATGGAGTTTGTGAGAATTGCACACATAGTACTGGAGGAGATTTCTGTGAGCTGTGCATGACTGGATTCTACCATAATCTCAGTCTTCCAGACAGTCATCCAGATACATGCATTAGTAAGTATAGTAGAGTATTGGGGAGGGGTGGTGGGAGGGAGGGGCGAATTAGAGAATGTAAGGTATGGGAGGTGTTATGTGTAAAGTAGGTGAAGTGTGTATATTAACATCAAATTGTGAAAGTATGTGAACACTCAAAATATAAACCCTTTTTCCAAGTACACTTAACAGATGTTGTCAGAAGCTCTTAATATGGACACATATTAATATAAACACCTCTTAATATAAACACCTCTGAATATGAACACCTTTGAATATGAACACCTATGATATTTTTTATTCTCATTACAACCAAGTTATGCATGGCTTTTTATTGTGACCAGCATTTGGCATTGGGCATCAGGTTCTATAACAAATAGATACATACATGTATTTGTAGTTACAACCAGATGATGGCATCTTCCCATGTCAATGTTAATATCCAGAATCATTAGTCAGGTTTACTTAAAGTGGACAGTACAAGGATACTTCCCTGAAAATGTTTTGGGAGGTGAAGCAGTTTCTTTTAAAACTGTGAATTCAGACATGAACCCAATGCCTTGTTTCACAGACTAAAATCTCAAGATGTTATGTTGACACAAACTGTTATTTTCATTGTATTTTCTAGATTGTGATTGTCAACCACTGGGAGTATTAGACAACAACATAGACTGTACTCAAGAAGGTGTTTGCACATGTAAGCCTTTAGTAGAGGGGCGCATATGTGACACTTGCATTAACGAGTACTATGGCTTGCTCTTGCAGGAACATCCTGGTGAATGCCAAGGTAATATATGTGAAGGTTGTTTACTGGAAGGTTTTGGATAAATGGCTTTTAGACTGAGAGATATATGTGTATTTAGTTGCATATAACATTTTAAGCATTTAAATGGAGAATTATAAAATAGATTAACACACACTGTAAAAAATTGCTCACCTCAGCACAATGTGTATTAAAAAGGTTTTCAATCAAACATTTAGTTTTCTTCTGAAAATATATTTTCTGCATGTACATTTTCAGCATGCACATGTAACCTAGATGGTACAGAAGTGTCCAGTAATATTTGTGAGAAGCAGACGGGTCAGTGTCCATGTAAGACCAGTACTACAAACAGGACGTGTAATGTTTGCAAAGATGGCTACTATGACTTCCCCGCTGGAAGGAGGAATGAGGTAAATGAGAGGAAATCAGACACAATCTGACATATTAAGGAAGATATTTTAGGAATTGATTGATTGATTGGTTGTTTGTTTGTTTGTTTGTTTGTGGGATCATCCCACGATCTAGTTACATGTCTCTTGAAGGAGAATTCTCAAATCAAGTCTACTAAAATACATTTCCAACATTCAAATTTCCAGTAAGATTTATATAAAGGCTGATCTTAGAGCATAATAATTGTTAGCATAGTGTTTAAACTTTTAATGTAGAATCCTCATCCTCATGCCACAAAGAAATCGATATAATCCTGGAATTATCTACCACTCTTACGTTCAGGAGTGAGATTCTCAACAATACACTTTAAAGTAGTTTGATTGTCTTAAGTACAAAAGCATGTGTCAAACCTCAATATCTTCAATGTTTGTGCTGTGGGAAAATATTGATTTTAAAAACAAATAATGAGGGACGAAGATGTTTGCAATGCCTGTTTCCATAGCAACTAGATTTTAACAAGCTGTTAACAAGTACTTTTTCTGTTAATCAAGATATGTTTATCATATATCACATTTTGATGATATTAAAGCTAAATGGTGCTAGGGTTATTAAATTAGCTCATTTACATATTCATATCAATTATGACTTCGTTACAACCAGTTTTAATACAACATACTGAATAAAATATTCTTGGATGAAGATTTTGATGTATATTAATATAATCATTCATTATAGCTATTAGCTTCATAAACCAATAATATATACTTGTACATATTTGTAACTCCTTTATTTCTATATTTGCTGCATGAAAACTAGAAAGTGAAAAAGAAATTATCCCATTTTATTGTCCCATTTGGTAAAAAACATTAAACATGTATATTGAAAATATATGCTATCTAGTATTCAATGTCGTTATAATCTGTTTTTGAATAGATGATCTTAAAACATGTGGTATTGATAATGACGCACATCTATAGGAATTTAATACCAAGAACATCCTGATACTAAAACGGCTTTTGAAATAACAAAGATAAAAGGCTAATTGACTCCTTCCACTTTTGAATTGAGTGTTTAAACATATGGAGAAAGTATTTAGTTAATTGTTATGTTCAACCATAGAGAATTTGTTAGTTGGTTTCAGAAACATCTGGTAATGATTTCCAATGAAAAATCAATTTTAACTCTTTATGTAGATATCAATGTTAATCTCCAGATCTGATATTATTTTGAACAACAATATTGAAAAGGTCAACTCATGCCATAGATCTGGACTTTTTAAAATAGATTTTAAAAACAATTGTGGACACCATCATTTTGTTCTATAACTACTTGTATTTATTATCGAAACATCTTTCTTGAAATAATATTTTCAAAGCAAACTGACAGTTGTATAGACACCCTTTAAATATTAATTTCAATTTAGAGAAAATACACTATACATGTTTCCAAATAGTAATGAACACACATATATTTTACACAAACCACTCTTACTATAGTGCCAATTCTGTTCAATACTATATTTAACAATAATATCTCTCTCCCATTTTGCTTCTTCTTACTGTTTTCATTTACTAGTAATATCAATGCCTGTGATACATTGGCATCAATAGCCCTTAACACATGATGAGATGACATAATTGTACTTAAAATACAATGTTTTAATAATTTTCACTGTGTACATGAGTAGTTATAGACTAGACTTTTGAAATATGTTGTTTAGTAATATACCATTGTTCTTATAATACTTTACTATATGCTTTAGGAATGCAAGGAGTGTCTATGTGACTGGGGAGCTTCCTACAACCAGTCATGTGACAAAGAAACAGGGAATTGCCCTTGCAAACCTTTCACTCAGTCAAACAGGTGTGATGTCATACAAGATGGCTACTACTATGAGTATATCGACACAAATGTATATATGCCGACAACGGGGACATGTACATTGAGTGCAATGCTTCAAAGTGATGGGAATCCATTTACAGGGCGATCATTTATGATTTGCTCACAAGATGGCACCACCATCTTTGAGTATGTAAATGGCGACATTGCACAGATGCAAATGGAATGGTAATATGGACATTTGTTTCTTAAATGAATTTGTTGTGATTTTAATGAGATAAGACATACCGATTTTGAATTTTAGTTTTGACGTGATAGAATAACAATATTTACCAAAAGTGTTAATTGCTGTTAGTGTTGCTGTAATTAATTGGATGCTAAATCAGTATTTTAATTTTAAATTAATTATGCTTTTTTATTGATTTTTTTATTAAAACTATTGTATTTCCTGAAAATACTGTACTGGGGAAATTGGTGCTACGAGAAAATGTAGTGTCAAAAAGATTCTATTTATTTAACTTTTTTATTTATCAGTAATTTTATTATCGACCAGGCGGTCGACCAGGCGTGCGTCCGTCCGTTGGTCCGTCCATCCGTCAACATTGGCCGCACAAATTAAAACTGCTATTCGGATTGAGTCATATCCACATTCATTTTATGCATATCCATAATGTCTATTTGACCTATCATCGCCATTTCCCAAGTTCGCCCAGTTTCCGAGAAATTGCTGATTTTGACGTCCAAAAGTCATATTTTTCTTTAAATACTAGACACTTTGTTGAAGTAGAACTTTCAAATAACTTGTAGTAGTAGCTGTATATGCAACTTATGTCCTCTGAAGATTTCAAAGCTCTTGGAATTACAGTTTTTGGTGTACTCTATAAAATTTGACAAAAAGTAGGACTCATTTTCAGGAAACTTTCTCATGTATAAAGTCAATGGCAGGTTTTGTGATTGACAAGTTTCTCAAAGTTTGCCTTATACTTGATCATTTCTTGCAATGAATTACATCATTACTAGATTTAAGAATTCCCTACATATTGCTCAATATATGTCAGCATCAAATTTTTACCGTTTTTGAGATATTTGACGTCAAAAACAGTAAAAATAAGTTATTTTTCAACTTGCTTCAATTTGACCAAATTTCTTTTTGAAAATCATCTTCAAGTTGCCAGGAGTTCAAATCTGACATTCGTTTTAGGATTTGACCTTTACTTGACCTTCAGTGACCTTCGAAAGGTCAAAAAAATTGATTTTTCAAATTGATTTTTGGATGTAAATTTTGGTCAGCTTAATCACAAAAAACTTTACTGAGCTCTGAGTAAAATTTTCAAGGTCAAAGGTCATCAAACTAGGTCACAAACTGTGCTATCTAAGTTTCTCAAAGTTCGAGACTACAAATCCAAATCAATATTTTTTGTTTGAAAGTCAGGATATACATTCCTCTGAAGGTTCCAAACTGTGTGAGCACAGGATTGTGGGTCCTTTACTTATAAACTATACGGTATGTAAAAAAAATTTTAATCTTACCCATTCTCACCCATTCTTTATGACTTCCTATAGGTCCTATTACCCAGTTATCAGATTTACTCTGGGCAACTCAAACACAAGTTCTGTGACGTGGACAGGTGGTCGTTTAATTGCGAAGGTGTTGGGAAACAGTGATCCTGATGTCTCAGCAATCAACCCGAATCTCAGCCCCATCTGCCAACGGGCCCAGGGAGAGGTGAAAAGCTGGGATGTTAATCTCACTGATGGTATGTATTTTTACAATTTTTAAGTCAAGTGTGAATCATGTTTGGGAAATTTAATTTTCTTATCCCTTATTTGACAAAATCAAAAGTATTTAATGTTGGTTTTGGGAAACAAAGTTATATACCAGTATGTTTTTGTAAAATAACAAAATAAAATGTAAATAACAACTTTGGTAAAACAAAGACTATATGTAGAGGAGATGCCGTTACTATGGGTGAAATCACTATGTAATGTATGCATGGATATTCTCAAAATATCAGATATATTTTATTCTTATTAGCCATAAATGGTAAGCTAGAGTTGCATGTTGCTTAGGTTACAGCCAGCTGGGGCTTGTTAACATGATAAATATAATTCAAGTTATTTACTGGATTATACTTAATTGAACCTGAATTATTAAAAATAGTTTTATTGTATAGAATACATGTAGTTTGGGTTCATTTTATCTTTCATATTTGTTTTAAATTATTTTTCTTTCATATCTGCCTTTCTTTGAAAATAACATATACTGTGTTGATGATATTCCTTTAGTATTAAAAACCATTTTATTTTCATTTACTTACCAATTATTAATTTAATTAACATTAAAACTTTTAGAACATGGCATCCAGAAATGAGTAATCTGAATTTTATGGGGAGGGGGGTGTTTTGTGAAGACCTGTCCATATTAACACATCATGAGAAGGAATTCCAATACATCCCTTTTGCCCTTTGCTTTTTGCTGGGTGGCCTCACATTTTGAGTTTTATTTGAGAGAATCCCCAAACATCTTTACAGTTCTTTATAATTCAGACCTACCAACAGGTAAGCCTGGAGAACAGTAGTTTTGTCATGCAATGTACAGAGTGTAAAACTACAAGGATTTGGATCACTTGACCTACTTGCTTGGTCCTATATACTTGCTCTTTTGTACAATGGATGATCTTCATTCCTGAATAGGGCTGAACCATTTTGGGTCTTACATCAAACACTTTGCTTCATCTATCCATGGCTGTACATGTATAAGTGACTACATGTATGTTATTTTTGTGTGTTTGTTCACAAATCCAATAATTCCATTTCTCCAATTCACAGAATAACCATGTTCTAAAACAACTGAGGAATTTGCTATTTCTGTTGATTTACAAAATCTGATGCAAATCTGATCCTTGCAATCAGCTTTATGAATTATAGAGTTCTGAGGACTTGAAAATGTTTTCATATCACTTCACTTCCTGAGTCATATCATCATCATGCACGCAGGCAGATAAAAACAAGGAATACAGAAAATACAGAAGCAAATTATAAGGATGTTATATCCTATGTTATTTAGGAATATCATTTTTATCCACCAGGAGATACTAATATCCCTGTGAGCAAGCATAGGGAAAAAATGAAGAATAAAAAAAACTAGTGAGAAACAATATCCCAAAAATAGCAGTGGCATCCTAAAGATATTCTCTCAAAAATATGGTAGTTATCTTATTAAGCATGATGTGAACACCATACATAAAGATTATAAGCAAAATTTATCTCATTGTTTCAGGGTGCATCGGTACTGTATCCTTCTTTTATAACTAGTTGGTATTATGTAGGACCTTTGTTTTGTGTTACAGAGAAGTTGATTGGTTTCATTGGTGTAGATTAGATGGGTGGTTTTGGTTATATCACATACAACTGTTTCCGTATTAATGGAAAAATTAACCTTACATTTACATCTGTAGTTGACATTCATTCAAATTCATTTTAATTAAGTTTATCAAATCAGTTAGTGAATTTGTATTGATTTATGATTCATTTACTAATTACGTTGGTTTTTATTGTTTTATGCAGATTAACCACAAGAAATTAATGTTTGATTTGTTTATGATAATGTCAGTAAAATATGTTTTTTATTTATTTGATTTATTGGCTCAGGCAGTGTTTAAAACCATTGTGGATTTTAATTTGTTTGTATCTACAACAACTACTGCTCTCACAGACCCCTATAGATGACGTGAGAATCCCTGAAGTAATCAGAATATGTTATTTCTAGGCCCTGCTGCAGGAACAATACTAAGAGCAGGCTATCCCATAGAGCCCACAACTACTTCTCTCACAGACCCATATAGACGACATTCGAATCCCTGTAGTATTCAGATGTGTTATTTCTAGGCCCTGCTGCAGGAACAATACTAAGAGCAGGTTTTCCCATAGAGCCTACAACTACTTCTCTCACAGACCCATATAGACGACATTCGAATCCCTGTAGTATTCAGATGTGTTATTTCTAGGCCCTGCTGCAGGAACAATTACTAAGAGCAGGCTTTCCCCTACAACTACTTCTCTCACAGACCCATATAGACGACATTCGAATCCCTGTAGTATTCAGATGTGTTATTTCTAGGCCCTGCTGCAGGAACAATTACTAAGAGCAGGCTTTCCCCTACAACTACTTCTCTCACAGACCCATATAGACGACATTCGAATCCCTGTAGTATTCAGATGTGTTATTTCTAGGCCCTGCTGCAGGAACAATTACTAAGAGCAGGCTTTCCCATAGAGCCTACAACTACTTCTCTTACAGACCTCCATAGGCTTTTTTTCACAGGCTTTCCCATAGAGTTCACACCTCCTTCTCTCACAGACCCATATAGATGACATGAAAATCTGTGTACGTATTAATCAGAATGTGTTATTTGTAGGACCTGCTGCACGAAGAATACTTAAAGCAGGCTATCCCATAGAGCCAACGACTACTACTCTCTCAGACTCTTCAAGGCGTGTCTTCATTCTCGAGGATGCTGTTATTTTATATTCTGGGATGGCTGTGTCATTCACAATGTATGCAGTCAATACTAACCCTATCAGGTTGATGATATGGCGGCCAGTGGTATACAGGGAGACATATCAGCTTGTAGGAGAAGTCTGGTACACACCAACCAGAGTTGGAGAGCAAGAGGTACTGTAAACCTGATAATCCTAGCACACTACTAATACTCCTATTCGTGATAAGAGTTCAGGTGGTAATTTACATAAATATCTCCCATTATGCATCACTTTGGAAGGGACAAATTTTCATTGGCCCACCTAACGAGTCGAATACTCTGAACGTTTCTCAGCTTCTGATCTTCCATCAGCCCTCAAGCATAGTTATATGATCCAATCTATTCAATAATCAGAAAAATAATCGGAGATTCAAAGTAACATTATTTATATTTTTTCGATCTTCGATGACGTCTGAGCAATTTCTGGGAAATCAGTGACGACACTGGAATTGGACAGCATTTTCAACTACAGATTTCTTCGTATTTGGGGATTATAGTTCAAAAAGCCTTGTTATATATCTTAATTACGTACCTATCATTTGTGCAAATGCAACTCTACACAAATGTTTAATAGAGTTGCCGTGCGGCATTGAAAAGACGGGTGACCGGGTATCTAACGTTCCTACCAGGGTTATGAATTTGATTTTTTTTGATTTTATCATTTTCATCTCTCAAAACGGCCAACTGACCTCCAACTCAACATACCAGTCATAAAACCAATCAAGCAAACAACCAACCAAGCAACCTACTAATCTTTCAATTATTAACCAACAGCCAAAACAAACAAACATCAATATTCTGTCAATCACTTGTACTTGTATTGTACATCACATGTAATTGACAGTTTAAAACGGCAAATAACACTTCAATTTATGTGTCCGTAATATATATTAAACAATTCTTCTTGTAGAAATCCCCATCAATCATAGAAAACAATCATCGATATCCTGTCAATCACTCAGACAATAAATAAAGCAACTAAATTAGTCGATTATTTTAAAAGTGCTCTTTATCTTACAAGCTCTTGGTAAAAATGATGAAGTTTATTATAAATATCGAATAGTAGTCTACATTAGGCAGGCTATGTCTATTTAGTTTTGACAGATCAATAACGCAGATGCGAGTAGGTAGTTTCCAGATTCACCACCAGAGGGCTCGTTCGGGTCAGATAGCATGGCGGGTATAGTAGAAAGTTCCCTTTAACTTAAATTACATCTATTTGCGTGGTTCAATTTTCATATAACCCTTATGTATCTAATAGTTATGTAAATTCAAATATGCCCAGTGAAAGAAAATGTTATCTGTCCAATACAAGATAAGATAATTCACTTTTTGTGATTTTGTAACATGGGGTCTATGAGGAATCAACCCGAACAAGAAGTCGCATTTTCAGAAAAAATTAAATTTTCAAAGTTGATAGACAATTTGAAGAATAGCATCAATTATACATGTACTTTTACATGCAGATTTCAAATATGACATCACTTTGACAGAATTTTGAATATTTAATGACGTAAATCAAGATTATTTCTACTCGCATCTAGTCTATTGGCTACTATATAAGGGAAAAATTTGCAACTTGAAACTTGAACTTGAAAGTTGGTAACCCAGCTAGGAATGTTAGGTACCCGGTCAACCAGCACCCGATTACCCGGTCACCCGGTTTTTTACACAAACCCTAACCCAGATGTAGACAACGTTGTACCATACATGAGAGCTCTTCAAACGGGAGGTAACTAAACTGAACTAAACTAAACATTATAGTGAATTGGAGTATTGTTGTGTGTTTCATGAGCTGGAATTAGGAAGTTGAATAGTCTCAAAATTCAAAGTAAGGAAACTGTAAATATCTGTGAAAACTACAGTACACTGTATAAGCATTCAGGCTTTCACTCAATTAATAAATATAAAAGCGTTGAAAATTACAAGGTTTACTGTAATTATTAGTTTTATCTCCTAAACATATCCTGAATGACATGTAGGATTATTATGAATTATGAACAATATCCAATTATTATAATGATGTTAAGGTTCAGCTGGAAAGTAACATTTTGGTAAAAAATTGCTATACCTGCACATGTTATTTTCTGGTACATAATTAAGTATGAAAGCATGTGTGTATTTCCTTGCTTTTTTCAGGAAAGTATCATTACACTGTCTACTTTTAGTAAACCTGGAAACAGGTCAATGGTAGCTCCTGTGTTGTCTGGAAACTTTGAAAGAAAATTTGGAAAAACAGGAAGTGTGAAATATCAGAATTCCCTGGAGTTCCCTTTGAACGCCTACTAGATATTCTTAAAGAAAACAATGTAATGATACTTTCCTGAATAAAGCAAGGCAATTGACACATGTCTTCATACTTTATTTTGTACCAGAAAATAACATGTGCTGGTATAGCAATTTTTTACCAAAATGTTACTTTCCAGCTGTACCTTAATAAATGGGTCTATCTGTTGTCAAATCTGTCAAAATTTGTTTTTAATGATTTGCCTTGATTAACCCCTTCAAATTTTACTCAATTTCATCTTTTCAAATTGGTTTCAATATTTCAGATAAACTTAGATGCAAACTCCACTATAACAGTAGCCAAGGGAGATCTTGTAGGTTTCCTTAAGATGACTACAGTGTCACCACTAGGGTATGTCTTCAAAAATGTTGACCATCAAATGAACTACATCACCCTTAGGGATGAATCAGATTTTCCACAAGTTGGAGACATAAGGTCAACTACCATTCAGGGATTCCCATACAGATTTGCCCTGAGAGTCAACTACTTGACAGGTAAATAAATATGTATGCCAGCAACCAAACTATCAAAACATTGTTTATTATACACAATAATATGAGAACAGGGGTTTCAGGGGCAACAGGTGATTGTCACCGGTTGTTTTCACAAAATCGCCTGTTGTTTTTAGGGACTTCAACTTTTCCATGTTAAATTCATGATTTCCATTAATTTTGCCTGTTGCTTTCGTTTATTTACCCTATTTTTCATAATTTTTATTCATAACATATGATTAAACTGACTAGTCAAATAATACTATTCCCCAAAAACATATAAATGGACTGATTGATCATTTATATATATCTATTATTGATTCAATAATCATGTCATATAAATGACATATCAGTCACAAAGAATCACTTCAGCTAAAAATGCCAAAGTTACAAAAAGACAATCCAAAATTTAGATGTCGTTAGATACCATAATGGATCATGACCTAAACATTTCAGGTTTTGGTGAGGCGTGGTTCAGCAATGACAGTGTAGCATTAGATGCTAGGTGTAAATACAGCTTTACACTCAGTGTGGGGACATCCAGTGACTCTACCAGCTCCATATTAATTGATGCCATCCTTCTCCTACCTGACATTGCCCCATTTACCATCTACCAGCAAAGTAAGTGTGCCTAAATTTCAAAATAATTACATTTTGAAGTGTTCCTAAGTTTCAAAAATAATTACATTTTGCGGAAATGGGCAAAATATGAACTTTTGAATAAATAGTACATTAGAAAAAAAAATTGGGAAAAAAAGGTAACATTGTCACATTTTATCAGAATGACTTTTCTATTTTCACTTTCATTTCCCGGGAAGTGCTGCCGGGACAGTATATGTCTAGAAAATTTTATTCATTCCTTTTAATCACCCCTCTTATATATTCTGACAAATTAAGTTAGACTGAGCCTCTTAGAGTAATAAGAATGATATTGTTTTTCCAGACCCTAACCAACAGAGTGCAATGTTTGATTGCTTGACAGCCATTTCCCCATTAAACAATAGACCTGAGACAATAGCAAAAGAGGAGTGCCGTGCACTCATGTACTCAGTCTCAACTGAACTACACAATGGAGGCATAGGTAAGTTATTGTTGTGCACTCATGTACTCAGTCTCAACTGAACTACACAATGGAGGTATAGGTAAGTTATTGTTGTGCACTCATGTACTCAGTCTCAACTTAACTACACACTGGAGGCATAGGTAAGTTATTGTTGTGCACTCATGTACTCAGTCTCAACAGAACTACACAATGGAGGCATAGGTAAGTTATTGTTGTGCACTCATGTACTCAGTCTCAACTGAACTACACAATGGAGGCATAGGTAAGTTATTGTTGTGCACTCATGTACTCAGTCTCAACAGAACTACATAATGGAGGCATAGGTAAGTTATTGTGCACTCATGTACTCAGTCTCAACTGAACTACACAATGGAGGCATAGGTAAGTTATTGTTGTGCACTCATGTACTCAGTCTCAACTGAACTACACAATGGAGGCATAGGTAAGTTATTGATGTACACTCATGTAGTCAGTCTCAACTGAACTACACAATGGAGGCATAGGTAAGTTATTGTTGTGCACTCATGTACTCAGTCTCAACTGAACTACACAATGGAGGCATAGGTAAGTTATTGTTGTGCACTCATGTACTCAGTCTCAACAGAACTACACAATGGAGGCATAGGTAAGTTATTGTTGTGCACTCATGCACTCAGTCTCAACTGAACTACACAATGGAGGCATAGGTAAGTTATTGTTGTGCACTCATGCACTCAGTCTCAACTGAACTACACAATGGAGGCATAGGTAAGTTATTGTTGTGCACTCAGTACTCCGTCTCAACAGAACTACATAATGGAGGCATAGGTAAGTTATTGTGGACTCATGTACTCAGTCTCAACTGAACTACACAATGGAGGCATAGGTAAGTTATTGTTGTGCACTCATGTACTCAGTCTCAACTGAACTACACACTGGAGGCATAGGTAAGTTATTGTGCACTCATGTACTCAGTCTCAACTGAACTACACAATGGAGGCATAGGTAAGTTATTGTTGTGCACTCATGTACTCAGTCTCAACTGAACTACACAATGGAGGCATAGGTAAGTTATTGTTGTGCACTCATGTACTCAGTCTCAACAGAACTACACAATGGAGGCATAGGTAAGTTATTGTGCACTCATGTACTCAGTCTCAACTGAACTACACAATGGAGGCATAGGTAAGTTATTGTTGTGCACTCATGTACTCAGTCTCAACTGAACTACACAATGGAGGCATAGGTAAGTTATTGTTGTGCACTCATGTACTCAGTCTCAACTGAACTACACAATGGAGGTATAGGTAAGTTATTGTTGTGCACTCATGTACTCAGTCTCAACTTAACTACACACTGGAGGCATAGGTAAGTTATTGTTGTGCACTCATGTACTCAGTCTCAACTGAACTACACAATGGAGGCATAGGTAAGTTATGCTTTGTACTCATGTTCATGTACCCTGTCTCCTTTAAATGACACAATGCTTAAACATTGAAAAATAAATTACCAGGTACATGGGTCCAATCTTTATTTTGTTCCATGACTGAAATCAGAATCAAGGCCGAACAAATTTAATTTATTCTAAAAGTTCCCTGTATTGGTGGATACTACATCTAGTTATTCGCCAGTTCATCTATCATTCAATTGTCATGTGACCTGGTTTTGACCAATTTTCCAATTTCAAGCTTTACAGTGATATCTAAGATATATAAGATTTTAATTCAGTGATTTGACTAAAATAAAGAAAACGTTGGCGGAGAGAGTTTGTATATCAAGTGGCACCGTCTGTCACCACCACCGAAATTATAAAGTACAAGTGCACTTTTTTGCCTCATTCCAATCAAATAGCAGGATATGATCACAAGATCAATCCAGTGATCTCCCCAGCATTAAAGCAAGTGGGTGCTGCACCCACTTGGGTGCTGCACCCACTTGAGATTTTAATAATAGGCTTGCACCCACCTGAGAATCTATTTTCACCCACTTGAAAATGAGAAAAATCATGAAAAATAGCCCTACTTGACCAAAGGTCTAAATTGTGAAATCTACAATTTTGCACCCACTTGAGAAAAAATCCTGGGGAGAACACTGCAATCACAAGCACATGTTTTCCAAGAGTTTTCCAACGATGCCTACTTTTGAAGAATTGGTCATGTGACCTTCTGCCAAAGCACTGACTGCCTTTTTCCGATCCTGGTTTAATTATATGGTAGTTAAGTTTCAGAAGAAACATTGACTCAAGTCCGTGATGACATGCTTAGTAAAATATGTCATTCAATAAATGCTCATAATGTTTGTCTTGCAGCATGTAATTGTGACCCTGTAGGAAGCATTGCCAATGCTACATGTGAGAATTATGGGGGTCAATGTAAGTGTAAACCAGGTGTATTTGGACGTGCTTGTGACCAATGTTTGCCCGGATACTACAACTTTACAGAAGCGGGATGTGAATGTGAGTATATATATGAGATGTGCGATAATAAGTATTTGTGATAATGTACTTTAGTTTTTGTGTCATAATACTTCATAAGGATAATCATTAGTTTAAATATTCCAGTTTGATGAAGTGGATCATAATTATACATGTATTGCTAACTGAATGAATCTTGGTGATGGGGGCAATTTGTAACAAGATTTATTAGTTTATATTAACTGCACATTCGTAAATGCATCCTGATCCAAATCTGTTAATATTTCTTTTGTACCTTGCAAACTTGTATTTTATTTTGTCTCATTTGACTTCCTTTCATTTGTGAACAGTTACTGTGTTGCATTGGACCACATGGAAACTACATGTAGGATCTTATCCTGTAGGTCTCATTATGTGTGTTCCCTCAAAGTATCTTTCCTTCACTCTCAAGGTCTCCAAATTCCTTGTATGATGTGTCGAATGATCTAAAGATCCTTCCTATTTTGTTTGCTTCATATTTCTGTTTGTGATATCTTCCTGTTTATTTCACCTTGCCTCATTGGGATTTCAAATGTCGTCTTGTCCATTTCCTTTTTCATGAGAGCTTTAGAAATGCTGGTCAGCTCTAAGTTACAGACCAGTCAAAAAGTTACCTTACTATATATTTGTGGCAACTATTAATTAGTCGATTGTAGTAAAATTCCCTGGTCATTCATGCTATACACAGACTACACCACATAGGTGCTGTTTTTTTGTTGCTACAAACTGTGCCTTGTCTTCTTATTTCATTATTTTCTGTCATACTTTATGTTATAACATTTTGAGGTGCCATTTATGGAGACCAGCCCTTTCATTTGAATGCAGTAGGCAGTGAATTTGAACACCTATGAAATCAAATTTTTCTGCATTTTTCTCAAATACACACATTTTAGGTGTTACATAAATTACATATTTTCTGCCTGTTTGGATTTTCAAACACCCTTGTTTAATACAAATGAAAGAGCTGGAAACCCTGGAGAATTTTCTGTGGGGACTATATATATTGTTTCCCATTGAAACCAACTTCTAATATTCAATATATTTCACATTGGCAGTTTGTCCAACACTGGTTTGTGAAGGAGACCCGTTGTTTGATAGTTACTATGGTATCCATGACGATAACATTTCGCTGATTCCCATCATTTTGATTGGTGTATTTGGACTATTGTTGGTCATAACAGTTGGCCTGATTATAATATTAGTCTGTAAAAGACGTGCTATGCAAACTAAAAAGGGACTAAATACAGGAAAAGATAACATCAGTTATGTTGACATTGATATTAAAGATCCTAAAGGGATTCATGCATATAATGTCTTCACAAATGATAACCATGATGATCAAATCAATGTCAAACCAGTCATTGAAGATGGTCAGACACCATCTAATACAAAAAATTCATTCATAAATGAAGCTTTCGAAGATCAACCTTTGAACCTCGAGCTCCAGAAAGCTGAACCAGAGCAGCCTAAGTCAAGTGCAGAAATAAATAATGCTCTTTTGAAAATCCTCAATGACATTGATGATATCGATCCTGACAAGGTTAACGCTGATAATGATATCACTGAGGAGGCTATAAGTGATTCAGATGAAGCTAATCTCATCGAGGCTGAGGTGCCCAATGTTAATGTTAAACCGACTGATGATGTTAATCCTGATGTGTTTGTTATATCAGGGAGTAAAGATCCCCTCAGTAATGTCTTGGATGAAATTGACCATCAATCATTTAACTACGCTGATTTTGGAAGCTTTGATGAGGTCAATGGTTCCTTGGTATAAGCAAGTGAATTTTTGGAAACAATTATATATGATAACAAAGATTTTATTGAAATTACGATTAATGGTTTCTTGGTGTTTTGTGTGTAAGAATAATTCAAGAAAACAATTTTATTTAGAACATAACTTAACATTTACTTAATAGTATGTGGATTTTGGTAATTACAGTTATTATTACTTAAACATTATGTGATAATTTAAGGAAACATTTTACTATAATTTTACAATATTATCATTTAATTGAATAACAATCTTTTTTAATTGCGATAGTATAATCACTCCTCCCAGTTTGCAAGCTGAATAATTAGTGAATTCTGCAAAACTTAAAGGCCCCATATAAAGTTTAAACCACTTTGGCTTATATTGTAGTCTTACCCAATGTTATCACAGTGTGATATGTGAAACTTTTTTTTTAAATTTCAAAAAGTGGTTTTTGATAGACTTTTTGTTTCAAAATTTGTGAATTTATTTAAAGCCAACTTTTAGAGGTCACTCATATCTTCTAATTAGCCACAATTCATACCAATGCATAGCATTCATCCTCCCATGTTTTTTACTGAAAAAATTAAGAAAATCGGTTCATAAATAAGCGAGAAATGAATTTATCAGTGCATGAAAATGGTTCTGAGAAAAATGCATTTCAAAATTTTAGTTCTCATAGAAACCAATGGTACAATGATATCTAAAACATAATTTATTCTTCCTTTTAACCTGGTTAGACAATCAACATTGGTTTTTATGAAAGTCTAGCATATTTAGAAAAGATTGACATCGAAAGAAATTTTTCAATTTTTTCAAAAAGTTTTTGCTACCTTTGTGACATCACTAATGTTTCAAAATATTTTTGATATGCTAAAACATTGAAGTGCCCCATTAAATATGGCATTTTATTATTGAAATAGTGTGTCCTTTGTTCAATCTTTTCATTGGTGTTAAAAAGATAATCTTTTTTGAAATGCATTAAGAAATATTTGATGATTAAGAAATTTCAACTTTTTTTGAAAAATGGCGGGAAATTTGAATATTTGAGAAATGAAATGCTCACAACTTTTTTTTCAAAAATTTTTTTTGTTCAAAAATCTCTAAAATCACTATTTAAGTCCTGACAAATAGTAAATGAATGATAAAAAAATATTTTCAAACTTTAGAGGGGGACTTTAAGAAAATATGTAAATTATGTGAAAATTGATCAAAATTAGATATTCTGCCAATCCTCTGGCCCAAGCAATTATCAATCCACACTCTGCAGAAATGGAAAACTTGGAGGAGTGTAAAATGTTAGTATAATATTAGTCGCTATATATACTCTGTAATATTAAAGGTAATACTCGTATTTAAAGGAATAAGGCTCAATTGTTATTTTTGAATATTTTATATATATTTTAAAGGTGAAAGAAAGGTCAGTGGTCTATATTTATTGTATATTTTTATTATATATATATCCATTTTACTGCTTATAAAGCAATTTTGTGTACATTTTTATGATTCTTAGTATGTTATATCATGGGAAATATTAATTGTTTGAAAAACTCAATTGGTTTTAAAAAATCTCCAATTGTATTCGTTAAATTTTTAAAATTTTATGTCTGTCTCGGGGTAGAGGTTATGTTTCCATGTAAAGTTAGTGAAATAAACTATTTCAAAACATGCAAACGAATCAGAAGTATTTTGTTGAGATTTTATTAGATATGGACCACTGAACCTTTGTATTTAGTCAATCATATTAACCTTTTATTTTAAAATAATTATGTTAAATTTTAATTATTTTTTTTATCTTATACCAAGGAACCATCTTCTGGTTAATTAGCACTGTTTCAGTGGTCTATATCTTGTATGGCCAAATTCCTTATTTATAAGGAGATCCTCCTCCTTTGGGAGATTGCATATGGATGCTATTGCTAATATGAGTGATACTACCTAAATGAAGCCTCTGAACCCTATGATGCATTAAGTCCATTAGATTCAGATTTTTATCTGATCCCCAGTTCAAACAAGTCAGGAGTATTTACATTATTTTGGACGATAAGTGTATTCTTCGATAACTCATTCATATCAGAGGAGTTTCTCAAACATATTGTTGATCCTGGTTGACTTTCCATGAAGTTACAACACAAATCATTTTCAATACAACTGAGCACTTTATTAATCTTTTTTGTCATGGACTCTTATCATAAAATCAAATTGTCAATTGTTTTGTCAATTATTGTGAATTGCATATTGATGCTCTTTACAGCAACTGACTATAAAATACATAATAATTAATCATGCTTGAAAGAGATATAAAGTAATCTGCCGATATGTCCATTTCTTCTGTGGAAGTGCATTCCGTACATGAAATATTTCGTACAATATCTCGATCAGACTTTCATAATCTTCTCATAAATACAAAAATGTTGTTCATATCTGTTTTTCTTTTTGTTTGTCTTCAGTTGTCATGATTGAAGTGTGCTCATAGAATGTAATAATTAAAGACACATCAGCAAGATCATTCAGGCTACAATATATCATGTCTTATCATTTTCAATACAAAGTTATATTGATCAGTTTTCCTTGAAAACTCAATCTAAAAAATTTAAATTTGACAATGTTCCAATAATGATCTTCCCATATTACATTATTCACTTGGAACATAGTATTATGTGAATTTCATATACACCCTAAAAGTACATAAGGCTGAGTTTTGAACTGCCCACGGTGCAAGTCAATTGCATAATATTTTCCCTCTAGGTATCACAAAAAAGAACAATAAGCCCAATAGCCCATGCGGTGCAAATTACATGGTCACACAATCTCAACAAAAACTGCTATTCAAGCGCCTTTACACTGCTAATTACAATGTGTCAATCTTGTCCGCAGATCATGTGTCAACTGCATCATCTTGTTGCTAGTGCACCACAGGAGTTCAATTGCAATAAACTGTGATGTATTTCAAAAGAATTATGTGAGTGTCAGTGCGCTTGGATTAGCTATTTTTGTTGAAAACACATGAGCATGTAATTTGCTCTGCAGGGCTTATTGTTCTTTTAAGTGCTACCTGGGGCGAAAACTCATTAAAATGTTACGCAATTCACTAACACCGCTGGCATTCAAAAATACAGCCCAACAGTACCATTTATCTTCAACAACACCCTGCTAATAACACTTACCTTGTATTTGCGAATGCAACTAACACCTGTCGGCTACCAGATTGACCTAGTATTTTATGACCAATTCATTTAAATATAAATGGTACGGTGGCAGGTACTATTCATATTTAAATGAGTTTCCAGTAAAATAGTAGATTAATCCGGTAGCCGACAGGCGTTAGTTGCATTCGCAAATACAAGCTTAACCCCTTTAATGTGTCTCACTTAATATTCCGATAAGTCATTTTGACAGTGTTGTATGTATATTCTCCCTTGCCCTGTATCCTGTAGCATGCAACTGCAACGAGGTAGGATCATCAGGCCTTGTTTGTGACTACATCACTGGGCAGTGTCCCTGTAAAACCAATGTTGCCATGGTAGCACAGAACAACAGTCTTGGTATCCCTGGAGACAGGCAGTGTAGTGCCTGTAAACAGAATTTCTTTGGCTTTCAGACTGGCAATGGTGAGTGATGTATAGTATTCTAGATCTAATTTAACTTTAATCATACATCTATTTGTGTATTATATAAATTCATATTATTTAAGTGTTTTTTGAAAATTGTGACAATAAGTACCTCTTAAACTAGCAGTATAGTGCATACAAGCATTGGCAGGATTTGCCCAGGGCAATGGACAATGTTCAATATTCCATTAAGACTTGTGAATATACATGTACTGTTATGTACTTTACTTTGTTAACTCACTTTAGGATGTGCCCCATGTGACTGTCATTTAGAAGGAAGTTTGGACCAACAATGTGGTTCCAGTGGGGTGTGTCAATGTAAGCCTACCATAAATGGAGACAAATGTGCAGGTTGCCAGTCAACATATTATAAGTTCACACCTGAAGGATGTCTGTGAGTCATTTTATACATATTTACTATTTAGTGCATAGTCCTACAAAAACATTAAATCACGGTTTATTAAACCCAGTTGCATTGTACCAAAAAGCATTATAAGTTTGGGGTTAAAGATAAAAGGGTAATTAATATACAATGTGCTTTGGTATATCAAAATAACCCACATTAGACAAAAACTACCCAATGTAAGTAGTGAATAGTGAAAAGTGAATAACAGGTTTGCTTGAAGATTGGGATTTATTGAGGCTGTGTTGTAGACTGCTTTGACCCCATTCATAACTTAAATGCATGGACCAGAAAACATTACATACAACCTTTAATGGGGAAAATGTATATGTTATTATAGAGCATGCAACTGTAGTGAAGCAGGGTCATTAAATCTAGAATGTGACCAGTCAGTAGGTGACTGTACATGTAAGTCCAATGCTGAAGGACCTAAATGCGATCGGTGTAGGTCTGGCCACTTCAATCTTGCCACCATTAACCCTGATGGCTGCCAGCCGTGTTTCTGCTATGGTCACAGCTCATCATGTACTTCAGCTGAGGGTTATACAGAGACCAGCATACAGGAGGACAAGTATGTATTGATTTGATATTCTCAATTATGATTGGTCAGACCAGGTCTCATTACTTCTGTATACACTTTAAAATGTGTCTTCAATTCTTTTAATGTTGAAAATGATGGACACTACTTGTTTTTATTTTCAATATTAAAGAATATGCCATAACTATTTATTCTAATGCCAAAGTAACGGAGAAGTTCAATGTCCTTTTTTATAAATATTTACACTTTAAGGCCCTCTGACTAACATAAAAGCACACTAACTTATGGTTTTGAAGTCTTTACATTTATTAACCGATAAGAAATTGTAAACCTATGGGGAACATCCCTAGTTATTGTCACTGTTTATATTCTAGTGCTCAGGGATGGCCCTTGGCAGAAAATCGTCCCACTCATGTCACTGCCCCAGCTAGCTTCATTGGTGACAAACTCTCCTCATACTGCCAAAATTTAGTAATGGTGGTACAGGCCAGAAGTAGACCCGCTGCATACGGTGGCCATAGACCTGTCATAATGAATGGAAATGGTAAGTTTATGTTACAGCTACATGCTGCATACTGTGGCCATACACCTGTCATAATGAACGGAAATGGTAAGTTTATGTTACAGCTACATGCTGCATACTGTGGCTATACATCTGTCATAATGAATGGAAATGGTAAGTTTATGTTACAGCTACATGCTGCATACTGTGGCCATGCATACACCTGTCTGTCATAATGAATGGAAATGGTAAGTGAATTGTTATAAAATTATCTTTTTCTCATTAACTTAATTTACTCAATGATTGTGCTGTGTTGTAGGTATGAAACTCTTCTTCAATGAAACAAATTTTGAGGCCTCAGCAGTTGGACCACGTACTTTTACAGTACAGTTTCACGAGGCATTCTGGGTGAAGGAAGACCTACAAAGACCAACTGCCTTTGAGTTCTATGGTTGGTGTATGATTGATATCAAATTAGTGTTTGTGAATTAAAACTCTAGAGGACCTTAGGAAACTCCTTTTAAAAACGTACTCGATTTGAAAGACTTGAAAAATGATTCACTGCATGTCAGTTTCAATATGCTGATTTTGATTGAGGCTTCTTATACCTGACAAAAGATTTAGACGGGTATAAGGAAGGAGGGGTTCCCATGCACCCGAAAGATGTATTTTTTTAATGTACATTTTTGTAATCCTAAAGGTCCATACTTAAGATTTTTGCATGTTCCCAGAATGAAATATTGTCCCATGGTATCCATTGGCGGCCATCTTGTCGGCCATCTTGAATTTTTGAAAGAGTTGATGTTAATTTTCTCAAAGTACAATAACTTCCACAGTTTTGAGAATTGAAAGCTGTAAGTGGTACCAAAATGAAGCTATTATTGTATCCTATATTATCAGATGCAATAATTATGCAAATTGCCTCATTTGCATAAAATGTGACATCATCAATCATAATTCTTGCCTCTTTACAATGGTATCGCATTATACCTTTCCGCCTGAGTGATTAGTCTTAGTCATTCATGAACATAAATGAAATTAAATATATAGGTACATTAATTTTGAACATATTTGCAATTGAAAGTTTTGGAAAAACATTGTCAGACACATGATTATGTAACTGAAAAGGGGCGTGGCAGTTCTTGCGAAAGAATTGATGTTAATCATTTCAAAGTACAATAACTTCCACAGTTTTGAGAGTTGAAAGCTGTTAGTGGTACCAAACTGAAGGTATCACAATATCCTATAGTATAAGATACAATAATTATGTTAATTACCATATTTGCATAAAATATGACATCATCAATCATTATTTTTGCCCTTTTTCAACGGTAATGCATATTGCCTTTTCCCCTGAGTGACCAGTCTTGGTCTCTCATGAATATAAAAGATATTAAATATATACATTCATTTTAAACATATTTGCAATTGAAAGTTTGAACATATTTGGATTGAAAGTTTTAGAAAAACATCGTCAGAAATTAAGGTATGACCTTTCAAATGATTATTGTTCTGAAAAGGGGCGTGGAACTTGTTGAAAATCTGTAATGTTATAATATAGTCAATGTATCATTTGTAAAATACCCAGGGGATCACTGAATACACAATTCTGTAGGGGTCCTAGGCTGAGCCCTCAGATATCATTATGTTCCCATACCAATCTGTAAAATTTCAATGTGTTCCCATACCAACCAAAATAACGCCCAAAAGCCATACCAAATATCCAAATAGAATACCAATGCTATATCAAATGTCCAAATATACGACTAATGCCATACCAAATATCCCAAAAATATAAGACCAAAGGAATGCAAAATGTCTAAAGCCCCTGGAAGAAAGCAAAACTTTTAGGAAAATGATCCAAAACAACCTCAAACTAAGTAAAAAAATTGGCCAAATTTTGCAGCTTGTGTGCACCGCTTACGAGTACATGAAGTGTTCATTATGATAGTTTAATTCCAATATGACAGCACAATACAAGTCAGGCTAATTTATTGTCACATATGCAAAAGTCGCTCTGATGAGACATGTTAGAAGTGGTAGTGGTTAATAATGCCCAGATCAAAGAAACACAAGATAGATATTGAAGATAGGCCCAGATCAAAGTATGGGCATCCTCAGCCTCAATCATGACGACATCTGTATTGTCCATCAGTGGGAGCTGTAACCCAAATACTGAGTATATGATTTAATGTACGTGTCATTCAGTTGCCATGCACTTGGGGCAGTTGGCAGTTTCTTCCTTGCCCCAAAGTCTGAAGTTTGATGGAGTAATGAGACCAGGTCAGGGAAAGCTCTTAATAATAATAGGAAATTAAGCTCCCCTCGGTCCATGGACCAAAGGTCATTCCATTTCAAGAAGTGCTGAAGTGAGGGTTCCCAGGTAATGTCGTAAATCTGGAAAGGCCACTGATATTGGGGAGTAATGTCATAACGCCCCGATATATGACTTGAGTCAATGGCTTTAAGCCACTTGTCCAGGTCCCTTGAGACTTCAGCTGTATTGTTCAAACCACACAAGGTTTTGTCATAGTTCTTCTCTAGACATTTGATTCTTTTATCATGCACTGTTGGTATCAGTTTGCCATTCTTTTCATAGCTAATAGAGCCCATCTGGTACCCACTACTGAAGTGGTCATAACTGTGATGTCATTTATGAAACCTCTGTATGGTAGGTATTTTGCACCTTCATTTGCTTGTGGAACCTTACACTGCATCATCCCTGCATTTAGCAGTAAGTTCATGGATGTTACGAAGAGAACTACTGATACAGTGCAGTCTGCCACTATGCCTTTCTCCAAATTCTGCTAATTAGTGGTATAATTGCCAAATGTATTCTGCAACTTCAAGGAGTTTGTGTTTCCAATTGTCAGATGGACTACATCTGTTGGTTTTGGTACATGAAAGTGAACTTGTACCTCTAGTATCAGTTGGTGAGGGATACTAGGTAGGCCTTCTGTCCAGCCAAACTACCGATTCTCTTTCTTGGCTTCCTTCACAAGTTGGCTTATGCTGCTATATGTACCCCATGATGTCTTGGGAGACCACTTTTCTGAATGCTTGGCAGGCCAGTAGGAAACAACTTCGGGGCTTGACCATAATGGCCCAGAAGATCTTTCCCTCAGCATCCAATAATGATGTCTCCCTGAACTGGTTCAGTCCCTCAAATTTTAGCTCCTTTGGAATGAAGCACCTTTCCGCCAAAGTCCAAGTCCTTGCTAGATCTTTCTTGTTCTGGATGCTTGTTAGCAATCGCCATAGATGTATTAACAGCTTTCGGCAGTTCTTGTAGACCCTGTATGTCACACCTGTTAGACCTGAGGCTGAGCCTTCCTGGTGATTGTTCTTACCTCATCAAGCTTGAAATCTGACTGGTCAAACGGTTTTGATGATAAATCTGGTGGGATATCAATTGGAAAATTACCCAATGGCATCTCTCGATCTTGGTCACTGTGTGCTGCCAATATTTGCTTCTGCTTGATCCTGCGTACATGCCATATGGGCACTCTTTGGTTACCTAACAAGTTTGATGTGAGCCTATAGAGATTTTCAAAGAATGTCTTCCTGGTCCTACGCTTCTCTTTTCCTGAGTGTTTCTATCTTTGGAAGAAGAATCTTTGGATGACCAAGATGAAGTAATCTCCTAAGAAGCATCTGTTGGAGTTCTCTTGCCAGTGTTGAAGCCGTCCACTTACACTGCAGGCTTCATCTCTCCTTTCCAAGAGAAGCTTTTGTCTTCTACTTGGCCCAACACAATGGTGTTTCACAGATGTTTCCTCCACTCCTTGTCCTCGCATCTGGGATGGAAATAGTTCTAACTTGGACAAGAGGTAGCATAGTGAAGAGGCTGGGCTCTGCATCCCACTTCTATTGGTTGCATAACTGCATACCACCCTCTTGTCTTAGCCTCATCAAATAGGTCTTGGATTTTTAAGCTGATGAGATATTTTAGTCGGTCTTCTGAAGGTACCGTGAGCTCATTGAAGATGATGGTCCTACTGTGTTTTGACTTAGCACTGAGTTTCTGGAAGAAGTCAGTTGAGAGTCCAGTCGGATGTCTTGGATAAAACATTGGACTGAGGTAGAGGCTTAATACATATTGAGTTAATTATATTTATAGCTTTAACAACTAAATACTGTGGGTACCCTTTTCAGTTCATTGCCTATCCTAAAATGATATGAGGATATGTGGTCATTCGTATCTGTACAGTACTTAGTTCAAAAGCGATACAGCTTATATATCTTTGGCTGAAATTTTAAATGTCTGCCAAACAGACCAACAAGAATTTCTGAACAAGCTAGGAATAAGGGACATCACTGGGCTACTTTCTAAAAGTCAAAAGCTATATTTTACACCCGGGGGGTTCACTGTATATAAACCTTGATGGGGTACCTCTTTTAACATTTGGTATGGCAATGGATCCAAATTTTAGGATCTGGAATGAAAATGCCCCCAGAATATGACTTTTAAGGTATGACAATGCTCAGATTTTTCTACTTTGTGGTACAAGAATGGTCATGGAGAATAGGTTACCTCTCACTTGTGGTATGGGATTGGTCTAGTTTTTACAAATGTCCTTAATTTGAGGTTGTTTTGGATCATTTTCCTAAAAGTTTTGCTTTCTTCCAGGGGCTTAAGACATTTTGCATTCCCTTGGTCTTATATTTTGGGATATTTGGTATGGCATTAGTCCTATATTTGGACATTTGATATAGCATTGGTATTATATTTGGATATTTGGTATGGCTTTTGGGCGTTATTTTGGTTGGTATGGGAACACATTGAAATTTTACAGATTGGTATGGGAACATAATGATATCTGAGGGCTCAGCCTAGGACCCCTACAGAATTGTGTATTCAGTGATCCCCTGGGTATTTTACAAATGATACATTGACTATATTATAACATTACAGATTTTCAACAAGTTCCACGCCCCTTTTCAGAACAATAATCATTTGAAAGGTCATACCTTAATTTCTGACGATGTTTTTCTAAAACTTTCAACCCAAATATGTTCAAACTTTCAATTGCAAATATGTTTAAAATGAATGTATATATTTAATATCTTTTATATTCATGAGAGACCAAGACTGGTCACTCAGAGGAAAAGGCAATATGCATTACCGTTGAAAAAGGGCAAAAATAATGATTGATGATGTCATATTTTATGCAAATATGGTAATTAACATAATTATTGTATCTTATAATATAGGATATTGTGATACCTTCAGTTTGGTACCACTAACAGCTTTCAACTCTCAAAACTGTGGAAGTTATTGTACTTTGAAATGATTAACATCAATTCTTTCGCAAGAAGTGCCACGCCCCTTTTCAGTTACATAATCATGTGTCTGACAATGTTTTTCCAAAACTTTCAATTGCAAATATGTTCAAAATTAATGTACCAATATATTTAAATTCATTTATGTTCATGAATGACTAAGACTGATCACTCAGGCAGAAAGGTATAATGCGATACCATTGTAAAGAGGCAAGAATTATGATTGATGATGTCACATTTTATGCAAATGAGGCAATTTGCATAATTATTGCATCTGATAATATAGGATACAATAATGGCTTCATTTTGGTACCACTTACAGCTTTCAATTCTCAAAACTGTGGAAATTATTATACTTTGAGATAATTAACATCAACTCTTTCAAAAATTCAAGATGGCCGACAAGATGGCCGCCAATGGATACCATGGGACAATATTTCATTCTGGGAACATGCAAAATTTTTTAGTATGGACCTTTAGGATTACAAAAATGTACATTAAAAAAATACATCTTTCGGGTGCATGGGGACCATACCTTCCTACTAGACTAATTGGTGATAAACTTTTGGGGATTTTCTTGATATTAAAAGTAGATCTTTTGCAGCATGATAGATAAAATTTAAGGTAGCCTTTTTTTAATTTTCATGAAATTATTCACTCTTTCGCCTTGATTGTTTAATTGAACTCACAATTGCCTTACTAAATTGATTTGAACATATATTGGCAATTTACATATGCATTCTTATTTTAGGAATTCTGGCTGACTTGCAGAGTTTAGAAGTTCAGACAAACTTTGGTGGAGACATTGTAGACATCTTGGATATCTCCATGGTAACTGCATCTCCAGGGGCCAATGGCACCTATATTGGTTCAGTGGAAAACTGTACATGTATCTCAGATAGACATGTAGAAGGTACAACTTCGACTTTTTTTTCTCACCATCACATATATAGTCTCCACTTTTTTATGACTGAGATTTGGCATCCGTGGTCAGTGGAGTTAGGAGTCTGTGACAAATGGTGTCTGTAACAAATGGCAGTTGGTGATAATTGGAATTTAATGACTTGTTTTAGTTTGTCAGCACAACCATGGAAGGATTTTGAATCTGCTGGTTTCAAATTAATCAACAGAGCTTACTCTTCAAGACTCAAGTATATTTTAGGGTAAATGCCAAAATTATGTAAAATGTTTTTATACTTGTTTATTTTTATACTTGTCACATTTTTATTGAGCCACACCATACAGGGTGTCATTGTCAATCAATGCCACAAATTGCTACATTGTTACAATTAAGGTGACCTTTGACCTATAAACATGGAAAGATTATTTAATATCCAGTTTTAATTTGGTTGCCATAGTACTATGTGTGACATCATAAACAATAGAACATTTGAAAGATATACTCTAACTGTACAAACAATAACTTCTGGGTAACTTTTCCTTTGAATGCAACAGAGAAGGAGATAAAATGTGTTTATCATTTTTGTCATGCTTGTCCATGTCTGTTACTCTGGGCCTTTTAGTGGCCAACTGGGCCAATGAGGGATGTAGCTACTACCCATCTATATGCCATCTAAAAGATGAGATTGCACTCTTGACACCACATGTGGAAAATATTTCAAAAACGTTGAACTCAGATGCTGATATGTTGAAAGTGATGTATGAAATGAATAGAGAGTTTTACAATACTCTGACAACAGCCAATGGCAAGAATGAACTTATTGTAGGCAAACTGGAGATGATAAGGCAGTATTCTGCTGACATTGTTGTGTTACAAGAGAATGTTGCTGGAGTAGAAATGACAGATATTGACCCAGAACAGATAAAGTCTAATGTTACTGCTATTAACATCAACATAGCCGGAGTTAAAGTCCAGATATCATCTCTGAAAGGGAGCTATATTCAAATGCATAAATACTGGTACATTTATGGAGCCTTCCTTGCAATAGAAATCTTAATAAAGATCCTAAATTTTATGAACAATGCATACAACTGCTACAAATCGAGAAAAAGGATGAAGAACTCCCAGTCGGAGGCGCATCATGCTACAGATGGTAAAATTAGAAAAATGCATATGTACCTTTATGCCCACCCTAGAGTTGCCAAAGTCTTGAAGTTTGCTGCATATGGTGTAGGTTTTTTTTTGAATGGTATGGTCATATACTTTGATATCACAACTTCAAAGGCATCCCATGACAGCCTGATGACCATAAGAGAATATTTAAGAAACATAATTTCAGACACAGCATTGAACCAACAGACTCTCACAAATTGTATAACCATTGAAACCAAAGCTGCCACTGAAATGGAAGTCATCTATGGCAAAATTAGGCAAGGCTTTGTGAACAGCAGTGACTTCATGAATCAGGTAAAGGTATACTCTGAGGATTACTATGACCAGAGCATAGCCAGAATACCTGTCTACACATTGGACAATGTAAATAAAAACAACCTGATAGCCTGCCAAATTCAGTACATCGACTGGCTCATTGCTCAAGAAGGAAACTTGCAGGGCTTCATTGATCGCATGAACGCTTTGGAATCAGTTATAAACATGGTGAACTTAGTAACTCCACCGATATTTGCATTCCAGTTGCTACTGATAGGACAAGCACACGACCCCACTGTTATGTTACCAATTATATTTCATGTCATAATAGACCTTAAACCTGACCTGGACCTTTGGCCAGATATGAATATGACCACATATCAGATAATTCAGCACAATCTAACACAGTGGAGGAATAAATTCACATCAAACAGTATCTGAATAAAACAATGCAGAGACCTCATTATCCGGTCGACGCACCGCAAATCACAATCGCAACGTAAATATTTAGCGAATCGTACGCAAAACGATATTATGAGGTCATCTCAAAGGCACTCTAGCGCAAATTCATTGCCGTTTTGCGTCTTTAGGGCAAATCGCAGTTTTCTTATTACACGGTAGACGCATCGCTATTTTCATTTCGCATCGCAAATACACTGCTAACCGCACGCAAATTGGTATTATGCAGTCATCCCACAGTTGCGTCCACGTAAATCAGTTGATTTTTATGTCGCAAACTCCACTTTATTTGCGGCATCCCTGACCCTGCCGCAATATAAATCGCAAACATATCATGAAGAATCTTGATAGTTTTCCTATTTAAATTAACATTATCGTTGTAGAAATCTGGGAAGTGCCCTTTGAGACATCCAACTAAAAATAGGTTGAAAAACATTAGAGACACAAACAACCAAAACTTATCAAAATCAAGTCTGAAAGTGCACGATTATGCTACCTTGGTTTTGTAAAATCTATAATAAATATCGCAATTCCATTTCGCAAATATCGTCTGCTAAAATTAAAATATTAGGGTTCGATCAAGCTGGAAAATGTGGCGCATATTATTCCAGGATGTTCACAATAGAAGAGGTTTACGCTTATTCAGAGACAGGAGTCAGCCGTTAGAGATGACTGACGATGAGATATTAAACAGATATCGTATGCCGAGGCCACTCATTCTTGAGTTGATTAATATATTAGATGGGGATCTAGCGTCAAGAACAAGGAATCCTCAGGCAATTCCATGTCAGCTAAAAGTATTCATTTCATTACGATTTTATGCTACAGGTTGTATGCAAATGATAAATGGAGATATATTCGGGGTATCACAACCTACTGTTTCGAACATTGTTGCTGAGGTATCGGCGGTTCTCTCTAGGTAGGCTATATCAGTCGGACTAATTACAAAGACACCGTGTCTTGTTTTCAAGATGGGCTGCCTTCCAGTGACAGATCTACTGATTTTCGCAAGATATATATAGGTTATGTAGTGGGAGTGATTCATTATGGGTTTTATTATGATGGACAATATGATATTTACTGAACTATAGGATAGCTTTGTTGAAGAGTATCGGGTCATTCTCCATGCAGTCGTACAAATTATACAGACACGAATAGCAAATGACGCATGCGTGGAGATTAAAGAATATCGAGTTGGAACCCTGGCTTCCAATACTCCTTGAGTCCAGTTGAAATAGATAACATTGATTGACACATCCGCACTGGCATAAACATATACATAGACATTAAAAAATCGTCTGCGTTGCGTTTGCGTGAAGCGCGTAATACGACGCAAACCATGATTTGCGCTTGCGAATAATGTTGATTCGCAAGCGCAACGCAAATCGCAACGCTAATTTAGCGCTGACCGGATAATGAGGGCTCAGAACTGTATACAGCATTGCATCTAATCTTACACCCAAGACAATCAAGAGTCTTAAATAAACAGTTTTTCTCAAAAAGTAATAAAGTGATTTTGTTGATATTGGAAGCATAACACCTTGTCAACTGAAAACTTTCCAAATAAGGTGGTCCTTTTCAAAAATGGTGGCCATTTTTATATGTGTCATTTTACAAATGTGTAATAGGGATTTAGTTAATGTTTCATTTGTAAATACATGTACATGTAAGCACAACTTGCTGTCTTTTGACATTTTGCCTATTGGTATCTATTTTGAGGATGAAGGCTGGGAGTCTTTGATGTCTAATGGAATTTGTTGCCTTCGTCTAGTTTAACCTGCACACATGGGACACAATAGTTTTGTTTGAGACACCTTTCAGAAATTTTTGTAACAGTCCTATTTTGTGCCCTATATCATTATATACACTGTATCTAATTCATCACGAGTCTAGACCTACCTATAAATGCTTTTACTATATCTATTTCTAACCAATCAACTCTCAGGACTTTACAACTGAAATTATTGAAAAAATGTTCTTACTTAGGTCCCTCGTGTGAAGAATGTGGAAATGGGTGTCGTCGTAGCACAATCAATGGATCATCCTATGAGACATGTAAACCATGTGAATGTAACAACCATGGAGAGACATCTCCTGCCGAATGCCTTCCCGACTCAGGCATATGTACAAACTGTTGCAATGGAACTGTCGGGGACTTCTGCGAGAATCCTGCCCCAAATGTTGTCCTAGCTGACCAATGTGAAGCAATAAGTTGTCAGTTGGAATATTGGGGGCTGTCAAAAGATGGTTGCCAGCGTAAGTTTTTTTTATTTTTTTTTTATTTCTAAAACATTGACAAACCTTAGGGATTGATATTTTGTGAAGTAGCTGCATTTCTAACATACTCTAGCTAATCAAACTGAATACAATTTGAGATGATACACTCTATGCTAAATTCCACTTGTTATAAACAAAATAGTGTGCCATTTTTAGCCACTTTATTAATATAGCTACAGCATATGGTGTTTATATTCCATTCCAGCTTGTAATTGTGATCCAGTAGGGGCATGGGACAACTTGTGTGATAGAGCCACTGGACAGTGCACTAGTTGATATATGTACAGTATATTTGTATGATGCTCAATTCTATTCCAGCATGTAATTGTGATCCAGTAGGGGCATGGGACAACTTGTGTGATAGAGCCACTGGACAGTGCACTAGTTGATATATGTACAGTATATTTGTATGATGCTCAATTCTATTCCAGCATGTAATTGTGAACCAGTAGGGGCATGGGACAACTTGTGTGATAGAGCCACTGGACAGTGCACTAGTTGATATATGTACAGTATATTTGTATGATGCTCAATTCTATTCTATTCCAGCATGTAATTGTCATCAAGTAGGGGCATTGGACAACTTGTGTGACAGAGCCACTGGACAGTGCAACTGTAAGCCACATGTTATCGGTGACAAGTGTGACAAGTGCGAAGATAACTATGCCAATCTAACTGAAACTGGGTGTAAAGGTAAAGCTACCTCTGAGATATATATCTTTATATTGTTCAGGTTTGTCAGGCTCAATTAAGGTCTCTCTGTATGGACCTTTATAATCTCCAGAACTTGTTTTATTCAACATAAATTCTCTACCTATGATTTTTCTATACGAGGTGCTAATTAATTCTCATTTTCTCAAATTAGTTAATATAACATCTTAAATATTTTCTCATTTTCAAGTAAATGTAAAATGGATTTTTGTTACAGAATGTGATACTTGCTACAAATTGATAACAATTGAGGTTGACGATTTACGTGAAATGCGTGACAATTTAACATCATATGTGGAATATCTACGTACCAATGACAATAACACAGAGCTAGGGCCATTCACAATGAGGTTGAACAACACAGTGAACAGTATGGAGAGGCTCTTGTTATATGTGAGTATGCAGATTTTTGCATGTTATTGCTGTAAAGGCAATCAAAGGGGTAGACCATGGGCTTTCAGGAGAATTATAAATTACTAAATATAAATAGGCTGTACATTGTAGACCTTTTACTTGAAGATTCAAGTTTACAAGTCCATGTATATGTGAACAATGTGTCTTTGAGGCCAAATTATGCAGAGTAATGTTTTATACATATACCACGTATATCAGTATTCAATTTTTCATAATAATTAATAAAGATGCTAACTGTTGGTGCTCAATATTAGCCAGGTAGTGCTACAGTTAGCAGTTTTGGTACATGTACAGTGTACTCCCCACCAACATTTTTTCAAATATGTTAGTTATTTTCTTCAATTTTCAGATGAACATTTATTATGTAAACAAACAAATGGTATGTGCAAAAATAAATGAAAAATAAATGCTAATTAATTAATTTGGCTTAATTTTCACTTTAATGTCATATAAGGTGCTATCTCACATATTGGCTGATTCAACATGTAATCTGTTTCTGTTTCCTATAATGAGTGGGTAATAGAGGACTTAATGTTCATCAGTACTAGTAAAGAATTTACAATTCATTTTCAGTGCAATTTTTAGTATACATGTTAAAATTAAAACTTCCAAAGAGTCTGACTGTTTATTGTTTGTCAAAGGTGGTTGATGTAGCAGTTAACGAAACAGATTACATGTATAATGTAATGGTTTAGTGCGTAACTGAGATGGCCCTAGCATCGAATGTCATATCACTATTTTTTCAATTTTAATTTTGAATGTCTAATAGGATGAAGTTCATTTACCTGTATTGATGTAAACATATTGAATGGTTATCACTAACTTCTTTCTTATAACAGATGTACATACTCAATAATAAAATGGTTATTGAACTTTTTCATTGAAGACTAGCATTCTTGTCAAGCACTCATGCTGCTTTCAAGATGATCTAAGTTATGCTATACAATACAATATACTGCATATTCTCTTACCATCTGTTTTCACATTAAATCTTCACTTCAATTGTATTTGCATTTAAATGTCACCTTCACAAATACTGTATTTTTCCTCATATAAAGGACATGATCCCAACCTATTACACATTGGAGATATATTTCTTATCATTTTCCTAGTTTGAATAAGTTATGACATTTCAAAAAATTAAATAATCAATTTTTGATTTTGAAAATGAAATGTTTTAGATAATGTTATTGATGCCAACTAAATCACACACAAAAATACAATGTATTGTAAACATGGAAACTACCATATCATTCATTCTCTTATCTGGTATATGAGGAATTAGCAATTTTTACAAGCACAAAAGGCCTTCTTGATTCCATTGACAGTTTTGGATGGTGTTTTACAACTACCCGCAATGCTTTAAATTGTGGATGGTGGCACTGTCAGAAGATTGATGAATATAAAATTATGTATAAAATATCTCTAAAAGCTTACACGTAGCATGTTTGGAATCACGATACTGAGAAACACAAACCTTCTATTTCAGTTAGAGGAGGCCAGTACAGTAGGTGACCAGGTCAGCGCAACTGTGCAGCTACTGAACACAAGTCTACAAGCAATGACATCAACTCTTGATGGTTATGTCACAAACAATACGCAGGCAGCCAATCAGAGCACTATCACAGCTCAGGATAATCTAGACCAGGGAAACAAAGCAATGGAAAACATTGACAGTATGTTGAAAGAATCATACTCTTATCTGAATGGTGAGTATTAAAGACCTTTTAGTTTATTAACCAACTTTTTGAGAAGATTAATGACATTCTGAGTAGATTTAAAACTTCAAATTCTAGATATTAAAAGTGAAGAAAATAAGAAACGAGCAGTTAATGAGTTCAAATGGACCAAGATAATGTAACAACTGATTTAGAACATACCTATAGGTTGATTTCTTGCAGCATTTTGTGGTTTTAGTATCACAAATTATTGGCCAGTATTTGCTCAATTATTCAAAGATTCAGTTCCATATGAATTCATTAGTTGAAATTGAACATCAATGATATGAAAGGAACAGATGCAAGGAAAAGATTCTGCCCTACAATAATCTCATGATACACTCCTTCCTCTAGGTGACATAGCAACTCAGATTACTCTGATAGAACAGTTAGTTCCTGCACTGAAAGAAGTGGAAACTTTCATACAGAACCAGGCCAGGGATACCCTAGATAACATAGCACAGAGTGAGGCACTTGTACAAGAAATTGAGACCAATGTCACCAACCTACAGAATATATCTCAAATATCACAACAGGTATGTTTGAGAATAGTGTTAGAAAATGATTAAATACCACAAGGGGACATTGTAAACAATATGCAAGCATACACTGTGAACCTTAATTTTCTCAGCCATTAGCAGCAAACCAGCTAATTTTTTAGGATTTTTATGATGCACTTTTATGAGTCCACTAACATACACTGGCATGTAGCGGCCCTGATATCGATAAATTCTACACGCAATATAACCCGATTCTACATGCTTGGTTAAAACTTTACACGAAAAAGCTTCGATATCCGGGCATTTACTCTTACACTGAACTGAAAATAGCATCGTCTAAACGTGTATGTGTTGGCTTCCGGGTAAGTTTATCAACATTTATACTCAATTGAAAGAGCAGTCGTGCTTATATCGTGTACCAGTTTGATTTATTTATATGTGTGTGTATTTATAACATGATAGCCTAGTAATACCGTGTCGTTAGAACAACTGCTAGATATCAAACTGATCACCTGAAATTACATTATTGGACTGATTGCGCATCTGATATTAAATGATTAATTTGCATTGAATCTGATATTAAATTGCAACCCAATACCAAGACTTTACATTTGAATGATAACACAGCCTCATATTCTAATCCATTATACGTCCATTGCAGGCCAAAAATGTTTCAATGTGGATATTGTAATGCACACGAGAATACATTCGATTCGTATATTGATCATACATCAATTGAACATGGAGATTTTCCTGTACACTTTTCCCAAACCTGTGGAATAGACAAGATGCGAGTAGAAATTATCTTGATTTACGTCATCAAATATTAAAAATTCATTTTTTGAAAAAATTCGAAACCATCGAATATCACTTTTCAAACCATCGAATATCACTTTTTAAGACGTGATATTCGATAGTTTATAAGTGATATTCGATGGTTTGTAAATTGTTTGCTAAAATATGATATCTTGGTCCACATATCAAATATATCATCATGTGATATTCGATCTATATCATTGCAACCATGGGATATAGAGGATATCCTATGATTTATGAGAGATATGATTTTTATCCACGAATGAATATGATACTTGCAAAAAATTTTATCATTTTCAAAAAAAAATTCCAAATTTGTTTTCAATTTTTTTCAAAAATGAATAAGAAAATTTTTCAAATTTTTTTATCCACATTTTTTTCAAATTTTTTTTTCAATTTGTTTTTCCAAAATTTTTTTCCCACATTTTTTTCAAATTTTTTTTCACCTTTTTTTGGCATACTTTTTTTCAGAATATTTTCAAAACTTTTTTTTCAAATTTTTTTCCCAAATTTATTTTTAACAATTTTTTGAGCGGGACATACGATTTATATGTCCCGGAGCTCCCCCGGAGCGGGACATACGAAAAATATTTGCCAGATATGGAATATATTCCGGGTTGATATGCCCCTGAAACCTCATCAGGTATGGAATACATATAGGTTATTTACTGGGAGGGATTGAATATGGGTTTTATTCCGAGGGACAATATGATATTGACTGAAGGGTAATATAATATTGACCGAGAGCGCAGCGACCGAGTGTCAATGTCATATTGCCCAAGGTCAATATCATATTTTCCGAGGAATAAAACCCATATTCAATCCTGACCAGAAATAACCTATTTATTCCATAATACATCCCTCTAGAATGTTACATTTGGATATTGCAAACGTTATATTAATAAATGCACATTGTTTGAAAAATAAAATAAATAAATAAAATAACCGGGAAACTAAAAAATAGGTCAATATGCTGGAAATACGATTTTTTCACGGGGACAATACGATTTTTTCATGTAAAACGCTCCAATACGATTTTTTCCCGGGGACAATACGATTTTTTCATGTAATACGATTCAATACGATTTTAATTTCTTCATATTTCCCTGGGAAAACAGTAGTATTATGGAATAAAATATATTTTCCCTCGGGACCTGCGGCCCTCGGACAGATATATTATATTTGCCTCGGGGTAATCCCAATATCCTGAACCTCATATAGGATAATCTCTATATCTACCTGATGGACCATAGGGACCGAAGGTAGACGTGCATATCTCACGAGGGATAAACCCCATATCCAAACCGACCGCACATATCTGCTTTATCATATACCAAGTAGTTTTCTAAAAAATTGATCTTATTTCCTTTTTTGAACTTTTAAAATTTTTTATTTTTATTCTCTACTCTACTTGTCAAAGGATAATAGACGATAAATATATATTTATATACATTTATAGAATACGATTCTAATATTTAAATAGCCATAACTTGCTCAATATTGACTTCCTCGTGTCTAATTTGAAATATATGATGCCTCCCGATGCTTTTAAGTACCCCAATTTTTTACAGATTTTTAAACGGACCAAAACTCTCTAAATGCGCATTTATGCTCTTTTCTCTCGAGAACGACTGTCTCATTTTCACGATAACTTTTATTTAGTACTTCTAACATATAAGATCTATTTTTCCCTATCAAGGTATGATGTAAATGACATGCTATTTACATCTTGTGAGTTTCAATGACGCGCGTTTGATTTTATAAAAAATGCCAAACTTTGTGACAAAAAATTTCATCCTGCTTGCAGCGAGAAGACGGACCGGTTCGGGGCAATCTCCTTGCAGCGAGAAGACGGACCGGTTCGGGGCAATAGCTGATGAAATTCTTTGTCACAAAGTTTGGCATTTTTTATAAAATCAAACGCGCGTCATTGAAACTCACAAGATGTAAATAGCATGTCATTTACATCATACCTTGATGGGGAAAAATAGATCTTATATGTTAGAAGTACTAAATAAAATTTATCGTGAAAATGAGACAGTCGTTTTCGAGAGAAAAGAACATAAATGCGCATTTAGAGAGTTTTGGTCCGTTTAAAAATCTGTAAAAAATTGGGGTACTTAAAAGCATCGGGAGGCATCATATATTTCAAATTGGACACGAGGAAGTCAATATTGAGCAAGTTATGGCTGTTTTAAATTCAAATAAAACCGTTAACCCGTACCGGTCCAGCTTTTGACCCGTACCGGTCAATTTTCGTTAGCTGCGTATACCAAGGGTGGATACGCAGGATAAGTAATTCTCCAATTGAAACCTTATATCGAGCTTTTTTATTCATTTCTGGCAATAAACTATTTTCTGTCAAAAAACGGGTGGTAATTACATTCACGTGGCAAAGGGATTGTGAAAGAAAGATTTATTTTCAGTGCTCAGTAAACCTATTTACAATTCTATGTCAAACATTCAAACATGACCGTGCTCTATTCGAATTTCTCAACCAATCAGAATGCAGCATAGCCAATATAATACTTTTATCAATTAGTAAAGGTTAAAAATAACCGGGAAAACCAAAAATAGGTTAATATGTTCCAATACGATTTTTGTCCCGGGGACAATACGATTTTTCCATGTAATACGCTCCAATACGATTTTTTTCCCGGGGACAATACGATTTTTTCATGTAATACGATTCAATACAATTTTTATTCCTTCATATTTCCCTGGGAAAACAGTAGTATTATGGAATAAATATAGGTTATTTACTGGGAGGGATTGAATATGGGTTTTATTCCGAGGGACAATATGATATTGACTGAAGGGTAATATAATATTGACCGAGAGCGCAGCGACCAAGTGTCAATTTCATATTGCCCAAGGTCAATATCATATTTTCCGAGGAATAAAACCCATATTCAATCCTGACCAGAAATAACCTATTTATTCCATAATACATCCCTCTAGAATGTTACATTTGGATATTGCAAACGTTATATTAATAAATGCACATTGTTTGAAAAATAAAATAAATAAATAAAATAACCGGGAAACTAAAAAATAGGTCAATATGCTGAAAATACGATTTTTTCACGGGGACAATACGATTTTTTCATGTAAAACGCTCCAATACGATTTTTTCCCGGGGACAATACGATTTTTTCATGTAATACGATTCAATACGATTTTAATTTCTTCATATTTCCCTGGGAAAACAGTAGTATTATGGAATAAAATATATTTTCCCTCGGGACCTGCGGCCCTCGGACAGATATATTATATTTGCCTCGGGGTAATCCCAATATCCTGAACCTCATATAGGATAATCTCTATATCTACCTGATGGACCATAGGGACCGAAGGTAGACGTGCATATCTCACGAGGGATAAACCCCATATCCAAACCGACCGCACATATCTGCTTTATCATATACCAAGTAGTTTTCTAAAAAATTGATCTTATTTCCTTTTTTGAACTTTTAAAATTTTTTATTTTTATTCTCTACTCTACTTGTCAAAGGATAATAGACGATAAATATATATTTATATATATTTATAGAATACGATTCTAATATACAAGCAACACATACATATTCCCGTGGAACCATAAATCTTTTGTGTAGGGTGTGGACATTTTTCTTTTCATTTTTCTAAAATCAGATTATTTTCATAAAATCCATACAAAGTTGGGCCTAAGAGATAAATTCAATGTCTTCAGTTGAGAATAAGTATAAGGTAAATGTGTGAATTCTGCTTGTTGTTGCACTATTTTTATAATAAACAAGGTTCGATACGCAACACTGAATAGACTGCAGTCATAGCTTAGTTGTAAAGAAAACAAAAGAAGTTGGGACGTGGTCATGCTTGATTATGTTTCTTTTATATATCACCGTTTGCATTCGTTGAAATCGGCCTGCATTGATTTCAAGAGGTGGTCGGTGTACAAGGTCATATGTTTGAGTTATTGGTCTAATGATAAATGTGACCCTTGAATGCATTATGCTTTATGTATGCGTGAAACAAATACTCCAATGGCCTAATCTCAATTTGCCTACAAACAATATAACATTGAAATGATGGTCATCTGCACATTAACTTCCGCACCACACGTCTAACTTCGACACAATTCAGTAAAGTATCCAGTATCGCTATAATCGCTACATGCCAGTGAACATAGCATAGCAGTGTATATAACATCAAGAGTAATTTATGATATAAACAAATAGTTAAACATTCCCTAATACTTGATAAAATTCTAGTGAATACATTTCTGGTAGCATTAGTTTGATTGTGTTAACAGGGCATGATAGATGCTATGGGAATACACCAAACCAACACATTGAAAGTCACAGAAATCTCCCAGCTGGTCAATTTGGTAGATTCATATGGTACATCAGCTGCGAGTGTTGCAAACTTTGCCACACTCAACACAAGTATTTCTTACTCGGAGGCAACAAGAGTGCAGCAGGAAGTCCTTCAGGCGCCACCTATAGAAGCTGATCTGGCAGGGTTACAAGAGAAAGCGGGAGAGCTGCAAGCTCAAGGGATGTCCTTGAATGATAAGGTGGGTGCAGGTATACAATGAGAAAACAATACAGGTCAATAGGGATATAATTACTTGTGCCCCACACTGAAAACTCCATTTCTCTTTTTAATTATTGATTACAGAAGAAAATGCAGAAGAAAAAATCTTTATATATCGAATGATAATCAAGTACATGTATTGCATATTACATGTAGTTCAGTTTAAAAGTCTGTGAACATATTTCTACTTTTTCTATCTATTTCTACCTGATATATGCAGTACTTATATTTATGCATCATATGTAGGATCTCGGGCCAATTTATTTATGAAGTAACAATTACAATGTACAACAACAATGATACATGATGACACTGTTGTCACAATCTTTCAGGCTAATGGTGCTTTAGAAGACAACCAGACAACCATAGCTGCTATGGAGGCAGCCAAGTTACGTACTGCAGAGCTAACCAGTCTCGTTAACGATGTCTCTAGCCAATCACAGACCCTCCTCAATCGCTCCCTCGTGGCCAATCAGGAGGCTCTGGCCGCTAAGGCATTAGAGGAGAAGACGTTCATCGAGGCTGCTGACATGTTAGAAATCATGCAGCAGTTCTCTGATAAGGCAGCTGGTATGTGTGTTAGTTCACAAAAATGATATATGTAAAACCTGTCTTCAGAATGCCACTTGGATGGGCCAAAAATGTTTGCTTGTGTTAAAGTGGGACTCCCTTTATAGAGGCTTTGAACTGAATTTACACTTCTTAATGCTGAAATTGATAGTTTATCCATACATTTTAAGGAAATAGGTATGTCAAAGAAGGTGTTAATCCAAATATTGACCTGATCGCTCAGAAAAAAGAAAAAAATTCAAATTTTCTCTCTACAGTCCTTGTTGTCCCTTTAATGTATGAGTTGAAGCTTTTTGAACATGGGAATCAATGGGAAATGTGTTGATATTGAAAAGTGTTCAGATTATAGGGGTGTTCCAATACATGTTTTGCCCTTATTCATTTTTATCTATTTTGTGTATTGCAGCAGTGTCAGTGCTGCCCTAGTGCTAAAGGTCAATCTGTACACCCATTGAACTGAATGGTTCTCCCAAACTGTTTTATTTTCACCTTGTTTAATTACAGCTGTTAAGCAGGCAGCTGATGCTGCCCTGGCGAATGTAGCAGAAGTTACCTCTCTCAGTGAGCAAGCCATCTCAACAGCCAATGAACTAAAAGCTAACCTCACACCAGCCTTACAGAATTCTCAAGAAGCTCAACAACTGGGAGATGAAGCATTGGCTCTTGCCACTTCAAAACAGCAGGTTGGTTTTATAGAAAATGTGTGAGTTTTTCACTCTATGAAGAGGCAATTATAAGTCTCATTTTCAATGTCACCACCAAGAAATGACGACATCTTGTTATGGTCTACTTGTGACTTCAGTGGATGTGCGTGGTCATTGTGTGTTTGGCCTGGGCATTTGGTGTCTGTATAAAATAGAGGTCTCCTGAGGTTGACTATTTGATTTATATAACAATTATTACAGTTTTGTAACAATTTGTTACTACTTATCAGGTGGTGCCATGGTAATGCTTTGTTATTTTATAGAAAGAATGAAGTCATCCGTTAAACCATCTAAATCTCTTGCAGGCTCTGTTCCCAGTGGTAGAGACAGCAAACCAGTTATGGAATACCTCAAATGCAACACTGAATAACCTCCAAGAAAGGATAGACAACCTGACAACCAGCAACACAACCCAGGTAAACTTCTACATACTCATACATCATTGAAAGCATTTGGGTCTATAGGCTTAAAGTTAAAGCTTTCCATACAGGAATCTTGAGGCTTTAGATTTTGCAATATAAATGTAAGTTTACAATCAATATCTAGAGATTGTAGTGGCATTGTTATTTTCAAGTTCATTTATTAACCTTGACCTGGGTATTAGAGAAAATTGTTTATTTCTTAAGTAGGTTGTTTTCTAGACTGTTTCTGTGGTTGTTTTCTAGACTTTTCTAGTTTCCACTCAGAGTACCATTTTCAATATCACAGAAATGTGGGAAAATGTTTGAAAGGATATACAGTACTTGGTTTTATATTTTATATTTGCAGGTGGAGCCCTCTAGGGGAGAATGTAACAACCTAAAACCAGAGGTCACTCTCCTTAAAGACAAAACAGACGCTGCTGGTATTTCAGTGCACAATGCTTCCAAAGCAACCAATCAAACTAAAACCCAACTTGACTCCATCAAAGCAGATTTGGATAATATTCGGACGTTAGACCCAGCTGAGATTCAAGTGCTTAGAGATAGAGTACTCGCAGCGAGAACTGATTTTGATAGTCGTAGTTTGGCGGATGCTGTGAGAAGCTTACAGGCTGTGTATCAGGAACAGCGTGATTGGTTGGATGCATTGCATAAGAAGAAAGATGCAATGAATCAAGAGATCCAAACGTTAAAGAGACTTCGAGATCAACTGAAGAATCCTTGATTAGGTAATACAGTATTCTAGTGGTGCAATCATGTAGTCACAGAGTTGCGTCATTCACACAGTGAGAGCCTCGAATAATCATGTCTACTCCAGGGTCATTAATTACACCTTAAGCAATATTTAAATTTAAATGTTAATGTTTAGAAAATGGATTCAGAGACATCCAGTTTTTGAAACTTCAACTTTTTGTCTCATTTCTTCATACTAAATTCAAGATTGCTTTTTCTTGATGAATTGCACCATTAATACAGGATGAGCCAAAAAGGGTAACCCAAACAAATATATGTTAATAACTCAGCAATCTAGCATAAGCTTAAAATTATATTTGGCACAATTAAACCTTATTCAATGTCTTTCCTTCATTAGTCTATCTTCAAATGGTCTGGATTACATGGCCATTTACAAAACATGCTCCAAATGCCAAAACATGACATAAATCCCGACAGATCTTTGGGGCTAATGTCTACACTAACAACCCTTGAAACATTGAAACAAGAGATAAGAAGGAAGATGCGACCCCTAAGACAAGATGTCTGTACTCATGTAAAGACAATTATGCCCAATAGGTTCAAGTTAGCCTCCAGACATGACACCAGTATTTTATTGCATGTTTTGTAAAATGGCCATAAAATTGTGACCTTTGGGAACAGACCAAATAAACTTTCTAGAACGAAAGAAAATTGAATAAAGTTTAATTGTAGCAAATATGACGCCACGGCCATGCTGAATGACAAAGTTATTAATATTTGTCTAAGTTAACTCTTTTGGCTCACCGTGTATGTCCTAAAAATAGTTAAACATTAAATTCATTTTCAAGGATGCAATGAATTGATACAGTATCCTATGCTTTTACTCAAATTTGACAATTTATTCAAACAAGCAAATTGTCTTTAAATAGCCTAAAACTTATATCAGATCTACTATTAAGAGTTAATAAGATCTCTGAACAAGATTTAAAAGACTCCGAGGTTTGTAAATTATCATTAAACTGGTGTCAAGGGATTTTCAACAATCGTTTTTCAAATATGATTACATCTACAATACTAAACATATTGTGATTTAAACTTATACATCTCTTTAAGGATTAAGTCATCTAGATTTTAAAGATATATATTTCCATGTATTTAACAAATTAAGGACTACACACATGTATGTGTACATGTATTTAAGAAGGGGTCTTTATTGTTGAATTATTAACAAGCACGTTATTTTAGCCCCTCTTCAACGCAACCTTCAATCACTAAAATACATTTATTGTGCTTGTGAATGGTTAACAGTTTAATGCAATAACGGTTAGCAAAATTTATATGCGACAAATAAAAATCATACTACATGTATAGAGAAATGGTTGAGAATAATGGATACTAGAATCTACGTGAGTTTCAATATCTGATATTATTATTAAACATGTAATGTATTAAACAAAATAATGGACATGACAAGAAAGGCCTCTTCAGTCGATTCAGCAAGGTTAGTGGGATTTGTTTTTGTTGCTTAGAAGAGATATTTAAAAGTTACAAACATAATTGATGGACAACAAACCAATTTTATAAGCCCAAATACAAACATATGTGAAAAAGATCTACTTTTGTATATTTTGATTTTTTTGTAATTATGCTTTTCTAACATTGAAATAGAATATGGGTGAAATTCTCTGAATGATTAAGATTTACTGCATGTTACAAAATTGCGCTGTTGTCCATTTGATCATTAGGAAAATCAATAAACTAACCATATGATTTCAACTGTGTGTTAATTTATATGATATTGCACGATTTATCATGTAGTCTTCAGTGTTCAGTTTATGTTATATTTCTTGCACAATTTATGGACAATAATAATACATAATGTACATGTACATATAATACGTGAATATGGTATACAGTATTAACAATACACTTACATGTAGTTTAATATATTGTACATACAGTTTAGCAATATTTAACATTTTGATAGGAGTTTTATAAATGTGGTGTTCATTGGTGTTTTATGTGATATTATATTATACAAAATAATATATTATATAAAAATTATACTTGGATCAGGGTGTATTATAGTTGTCCTTATTATAAGTATGTCTATTCGGTTTACTTGGTTTTTATTTTGCTTTTTAAAGATCTCAAGTGTTATACGACATACACTATATACATACATGTAGATGTATATCAAAAAAACTATATGAAGAAGTATGTATTGTGTATATTATAAAACAGTGTTCAAAGACATTCATGTATTATAACATTTACCCCAAATATAATTGAAAACTCATGCTTGGATTTTCTATTTAAAATGTATAAAAAGAAGAGACTATATTTTGGTTTTGCAATGATACAGGAAGCAGGAGATCTGAGTACTGTGTGGTATTCTGGTAAACTAGTGACATTGTAAAAAGTTAGCAGTTCATTTATGACTTGTGTGTTCATACTAAGGAAGTCATTGGAAGATTGATATGTACTCTAGTCAGATGTGTGAGTTCCAAATAGAAATAAATCCATGAATATGATATTTTTAAAAATATGATTAATTTGTTTTGTTCTTGATCAGATCTAGATGGCTTTTATGTGAAGCTCTTAAACATCCTTACACAAGCTCAGCTAGTTATGTACAATAATTAAAAACAGCAAATTATTACTGCATGTTTTATTCTATTGAGTCTACATGTTTATGCCTTTAATTGTTTAACAAGTAATATTTCTTGAAAGGCTAAAAGGAAGATATTAAAACACATTCCAAATATATTTGTGTAATATTTAACAATTACATGTACATCAATCTTTCCCAAACACATTAACAGTTATGACAGCTTGATTATCAAATGTTTTAAATAATTTAGAAAATATAAGTACAAATAAAAACGTGAACACTTTTTAAGAAGGTTTACATTAACTGGATCTTTAAATGTCTGGTTAGTTATTAACTTCAGTCACTTCAAAGTTGGCACCCCTATTAAATTATGGCCTGGATCGGTAAGAACTTATTGATAAAAGTAGCTTCAGGTTATTTCAAAGCTGGCACCCCTATAAAATTAATGGCTTAGACGGTAAGAACTTAAAAAAAGTGCGGGAAATTTTGTTAATAATTATTATACATATATACAAAAAGGGGCCAGAACAAACATACATAAGACATATATTAGTTCTACTAATTTACCATGAAATTTAGGGTGGAGACCAATTAAATCTTTTACAAAAGATAATTTTTCTTTCTGATAAAAATATTTTAATTTCTAGCCATGTTTTTTTTAGAAAAAATCCTGAAATGATGGAAAATAAAAGTACCACATTCCAATGCAATGTTTCTAAACCAACAGAGCTAGGGACAATCTCTTAAAATCCTAGAAGAAGCCCAATTATCATATGTTCCTCAAATGCATTTTGGTAATTAGATGTAAGCAACATAATCACAGCGACATTGGTATAAAAGATTAAGAAGACATGGCAAAACCAGAATTTAACAAACATGAAGCCAATAAAATATGTAAGTTTCATAATATTACAATCATGTTTTCAAAATAAACTTTTAAACCACTTTTTCAGATATAATTTTTGGTATCACTTTGTATTCATGATAAATCAATCAGGGTACAAAATCCAGGGAACCTGAAGTCTGGATTGCATCTGTAGATCAAGTATGAGTATGATATGATGTGAGGAATCTTGTGTGTAGTATCTAAGAAATAGATGATCCCATCCGCTAATAACACCCTTATTACAGTCTCATATTTGATTGAATATGGTCAATGTCAACTCATTCATTTTAATACTTTTGATTTTTCCTTTTTGGTAATTAATGATAATGTATGGTTGTATCCTTTTACTTAGCATGATCATATAAATAAAAAATAAAAAATCACTGTTCATCTTAAATCACCAAACAGACATAGATTTTTAGATATTTTTATTAACTTAATTTCCTTTTTGTTGCTTAGGCAGAAATAGCAGAAGCGAGTAATGATGCACTCCTCGAAATGTTTACAATTAACAATGAATAGTGTTGTAACGATCCCGGGGTTCCTTTTTTGTATGATCGTATGATTCTGAGAAACCATTGTGTACTTTTTGATGAACAATGACTTGCGACCTAACTATATAAGTTATGATGGTTCAAAAAAACGGACCCCTGAATTGCAAATTGGTACTAGCTTACAGCTTAGCTGTGGTGGCTAGCCCTTATGACTCAGTGGTAGAGCATCGGACTTTGAATCTGGGCTTTGTATAAAACACCTCTTACCTCATACCCACCTACCCACGTGCGTTGGACATAATACAGTCTTTGAAGGGTTCAATTTTAAAGATCTTAGTTTATTAAATCTTAGTTTATGATGAATTATAGATGCATTTGTAACGACCCTTGATAGCAAGTTGCTACTACAGCCCAGCTGGGCTCGATTCCCACTCGGGGCATCAAATTTAGCACACTTTCTTTCGATTTCTTTATCTGGCTTGTTGGACCTATGCTCGCGGTCGTTAGTTAGTTATTCCCCTGGGGCGCCCTCGGGTCATTACACATCACAATGCACCCATATGCCTTTATTTATGGATCTGTCATCCGTCTAGTCATAAAATAAAGCCGGAACTCTAGAAATGTTAATAATTAGAGCTATTTTGAGATTTAAAAATCTTTAAAATTAAACCCTTCAATGACTGTATTATGTCCCACGTAGGTGGGTAGGTGGGTATGAGGTTTTTAAAAGAAGCCTTGAATCAGAATGTCCAAGTTCGATTCCCGCATGTGTCTGTATTTGGCTTGTTACACTACAGATTCTCCGAGGCACCCTCAGATTGTTAGAGTAGTGTGCATGGAAAAAGTCAATACAAAAGTTACAATATCAAAAGCATTTGAAATATCTAAAAGCATCAACAAAAAACATAGCTAAATATTTCAGTTAACCTTGTGATTATATTCCTCACTTCCTTGTCTCAGTAATAAAAAATCCAAAGTTAATGATACTACAAAATACTGCAAAATATTGAGCTGCCTGGGACCATAAAAATACATCTGTGTGAGCAGTAGGATTTATGATAAATGGTGAACAATTCCAATGATTTACAGATGGAACAAGAGAAAAAAATATTCATTGTTTTGGGAACATTAATCAGATTTGCTTTTTATATATGATACATTTTATACCCAATATCACAAACCTCAGTCATGTATTGAATGATCTCTATTTATCACCATGTTTAAACTACCTGTACTATCAAAATATTTAAAAACACAAAATATCTTTGTACAATATATATCTTTGAACACATTCTAGATGTGCTTGTGTTCATGTTATTACAGATGATCGAACAGATGAAAATTCATGTCAAATCTGCATCGACCAGGATCTAGAAGATGATGGGACCTGTACCGTATGTGCAGAAATTCTTAAAGAAAGTGTTACTATACAAGAGGATGCAAAAGAGGCATAGGC